TTATTATTGAAAGATGACTATAGTAATTACAGATGGATATATTTCAAATGCAGCAGCAGCAGCATGTATAAAAAAAATCTTACCATTATTTTACAATTTAATAGGTTTTAAGATTAAAAGTATTAGGTCAGATAATGGAACAGAATTTATTAACAGCAATATTACAGAGTTTTTAAAGGTCAAAGGTATAACGCACCAGAGAACAGTACCCTATACCCCTGAACAAAATAGTCGTGTAGAACGGGAAATGAGAACGGTGGTAGAAGCTGCACGGACTTTGCTTCTTGCAAAGAATCTTCCAAAGGAACTGTGGGCTGAAGCATTAAGCACTGCGGTCTTCACTATAAATAGAACAGGCAAATCACCTACACCTGAAAAAACACCATATGAGTTAATATTTAATAAACAGTTTGATTTACAGTTTTTAAGAGTATTTGGAACAGAAGCATGGATACATATACCAAAAGAAAAGAGACGTAAGTGGGGTGCTAAGAGTAAAAGAGGAATATTTGTTGGCTATGGCATCGACACAAAGGGCTACAGAGTTTGGTTTCCAGAATGTAATGAAGTAAATACATACAGAGATATTATATTCATCAATAAAGAGAAATGTATAGACTACACAGAAAATACTACAGATAATGCAAATAAATATTACTACACTATAGATGATTATGAAGAAAATACAAATAAAATAAATATGCATACAGAAAAAGAGATTATAGAAGACGTGAGAATACAGAATGATAGAGAAGATATAAGAGAAGAGGAAAGAAATACAGATTCAGGAAGGGAAAATAATGAAGATACAAATAAAGCAAGAGATGAAACCAGAACTTATGATAGAAGTATAAATAAACCTATAGAAGAAGATGAAGGTTCAGTACATGAAGGTGAAGAAGACATGATAGAAGAGTACTTAGAAGATGAATATCTAGACACAGAAGAATTACCTGATAACACAGAAGTAAGAAGAACTAGAAGTGGCAGACTAATAAAGAAACCTCAGTGGACAAAGGACTATGAAACAGCTTTGATAGTACAGGGTGAGCATGAGTTAACCTATGAGGAAGCAATAGCAGGAGAAAATAGGGAAAGATGGGTAGAAGCAATCAACACAGAGCTAAAGGCATTAGAGAGTAATAACTCTTGGAGAGAAGCAGAATTACCAGTAAATAAAAGGATCATAGATGGAAAATGGATTTTTAAAATAAAGAAAGGCGATAAAGGTGAAAATATCTATAAAGCCAGATTAGTGGCTAGAGGGTTTCAACAGCAAGATCATTTTGACCATTCCGAGATATATGCCCCAGTAGCCAAATTACCAACTCTACGAATTTTATTAGCTATAGCAAATAAGTTTGACTTAAATATTACACAGATGGATGTTAAGAGCGCATTTCTTTATGGAGACATAACAGATGAGGTATATATAAAACTACCAAATGGAACGAAATAAGATAATAAAATACTAAAATTACAAAAATCACAAAATTATTAAATTAATTATTCCGTTCTCTACGGTTTAAAAAGTTCCCAAGAGAATGGAATAATAAATTTAATGATTTTGTTGTTAAGGAACAATGAACTAGAAGCAAAGCAGATTATCGTTTATATTTCAGCAAGAAAGAGAAACTATATTTATTAATATATGTTGACGACCTTATAATAATAGGAGAGAAAAATAGCAGTATTAACAGGTTAAAGCAATCACTACAAAAAGAATTTCAAATGAAGGAATTAGGAAATGGAAAGAATTTTAAATATTTAGGTATTAACATAAAAAGAAAAGAAGATTACATAGAATTAGATCAGAAAGAATATCTACAGGAACTCCTTATAAAGAACAACATGAATGACTGCAATCCAGTCGCAACACCAATTGAACCAGGATGCTTAGAAATACCTTTGTCAAATCAAACACAAAATGATGAGTTAACCAAGAGGTGCAGACAATTAATTGGAAGCTTAATGTATGCTATGCTTGGAACAAGACCAGATATTGGTTTCACTTTGAGTTATTTGGCTAGATTCCAATCTAATGGAAGTACTGAATTATGGAGCTCGTTAAAGAGTTACTTCGTTATATAAAAGGTACAATTGACTATAAGTTAATTTATAGAACATTGTGATGTACCAATAATTGGCTATACTGATGCAGATTGGGGAGGAGATAAAACTGATAGAAAGTCTACGTCAGGGTATATTTTTAAAGTTTATGGGAGTACAGTTTCATGGAGTAGTTCCAAACAACAGTGTGTTGCACTTTCATCAACCGAGTCTGAGTATGTAGCTCTAGGTAGATAGATGTGTGTCTGAGGGATGCTGGATTAGAGAAATGTTAAAAGAAATAGGTTTAGATTGCAATAGTTTTTTGGTTTACATAGACAATCAGTCCGCCCTTCATGTTGCTCAAAACCCAGAACAACATCGTCGTCTAAAGCATATTGATTTAAAATTTCATTTTGTTAGGGATAAGGTAAATAATAAGATTGTTGATTTGTTATATATCCCATCCAACCAACAGTTAGCAGACTTGTGTACTAAAGGTTTAAGTAAGATTACATTCACAACATTGTGTAATTATATAGGACTTCAATAAACATGTAGAATGTTATTTTTTTTGTTAAAAGAGTTTTTTTTTTATGGTGTTTCTTTATTATAGTTTATAATAGTAGTCTTAATTTATAAAGTCGAGGAAGGGTGTTAATGTTAGGAATAAACGACATATAAATTAAGTTTCTGAACATACTTGTATTTTCAGTAGTCCTAATTATAATCTGCACTGTGGCAACATTTTTTTCCTTTATAACAAAAACTTACTTGTTCCGTTCGTGGCCGACATTGGTGTCGATTCTAGCATGATTCTCTAAACCTAAACTTAAATTTGACAGCAGTATATCCTTGTCGTTCTCTATACAGAATGAAAAGGAGAGACTGATGTTAAATTTAGTTTTAAGTTTAGAGAATCACGCCAGAATTGGCACCATTGTGTGCTTAATAAACCTGTTTACAGAAGACTAATCTCGTTACTTTATCACTCTCACACTTTCACGATAACCACCATTATTCTTCGCAATATAGCTGCCACCTGGACATCGACTTTCCAATTTTATTGATTTCGTCTTACGAATATATACAGTCTAAAAAAATATATACAGTCGAACACAGAACCTCCTCCTTTTTTGTCAAGTTCGGTTCGGTTAAAGAGAAACTTATTAAAAATGTTCCTCTCAGACTCGCCCGTGCGGTTCGAACGCCGCTTTACCACCGCGTTAATATCAGCTAAACTGCAAGGCGGTCGCGGGGAGCAATCCTGGCAGCACACGCAACTCTTCCGCACCGCAGCCGTGTCGACACTCGCGGGCCTTCATATCCTCGCCACGTTGATCGACACCGATGCGCCACGAGAATTGACCACCGCTGATTGCTTACACTCACACAGGCCCCAGTAGACCACCCTGATGCAGAACTTTCTTTCCGACTGATTTATAAATATATGAATGTACTATCATTCACAATCTTCAGGAACCTAACTGTCTAACTTTAGCTATTTGTAATTAAATTGAATTATTCGTCTAAAAGAGTCAAATTTTACTTTCAAAGTTAAAAAACATCAACGTTACGTAACTACCCCCAACTATGCAATAAAAATATGCAATCGAAAAAGTTATACAATTAGGCATCTGTGTTCCAAGCATAGAGGTATAAGAATAGAGTAGGGGAGATGTAGACTCTACTACAAGTGGAAGTGTCCCTCTAATGGAAAGAGAAAGAAGATGAGAGACCGCTAGCTTTCTCTCTGTAATTGCGCATGCGCATTGGCAACCGTAAGGATCTTACTATTTCGATGAGATGCCATTGGATGCCATGCGTCACAAGAGAGGGAGATAGCTAGCGGTCTCTCATCTTCTTTCTCTTTCTACTAGACGGACACTTTTAGAGTCACCGTCCCCATTCTATTATACCTCTATGGTTCCAAGTGGCGTAGCGTGGGTTCGCTGCAAAATTTTACAATAAATGTTTGTTATAAAAAAGTCGACATTACCAGCCGCATCTGCAATGGCGGCGAAACCTGAGTTTATCATTCCTTGAAATTTTCTGGTCTCTTGTTGTCTTCTTGAAAAGTTATGTGTTTAAAGACTACCTAAGTAAACAAAGTTCCTAAGGCTGTTCGATTAAGAGGACGGAAAAATTTGGCTCTACCCACGCTACGTCAGTAGTTCAGTGTCAGTTTTTGCGCACAGATGGCGCTGTTAGGAATTTCATAATTATTATTCTACTTTTACGCAATAAAACTCACACTCAGTCCAGTTTATAATAAAATAATAAGGCTGTTATTCTAGTGATTTGTAATTATTTAGCTGGATGTTTAGACCCTACGGTATACAAAGGAGTGTCACCTTCATGGCTATTATACTTTGTTTTAACTGTTTTTTATAAAGTCAAGTGTCTCACAATCAGCCAAAAGCCTGATCAGATAACTTTTCATTTAATATTGAGTATTGACGATTGATTCTTTCAAGATAATGAGACCTATCATCCCACTGACTTCTTTACAAACGAGTATTTACCTGATTATAAATTTGTTCAATTCCCGTTGTCAGCAGATAAATATTTTACCACTTTATTCCACAATAGGGCATTTTTTCCCATCCATATGGACCTTAAGTAATATTTTGGAGTTTATTGAAATTCTTTTTTCTTCAAGTTATTTAATGTAACATATTATTAAATAATTTCAAGATTATCTACCCTAAATCCACTTAAGGTTTTAAATAGCTAACCATCTCCTTTGTATGTATGTATGTTTGTCAAGTTTTTTTGCTAATAAGTTTTAAATATGAAAATTGTGAGATATATATATAGCCAAGGGTGCCGTCCACTTTCCTGTGTTCGTATAGGCATAAAAGTGCAGTCTTCTTCAAAACGGCTTTATGACTTACCAATATTAAACATTTGGTTTAAATGACCTAAGAAATAAATTTACTTATGTGCAGGCCAATAGGGAGGAAGACTGACACAATACTCGCCGGCAGAGGTGCTGATATCGTCTTAACCAAAACAAAGTTATAGAAAAAAAGTGTACTTTTATTTTCAGTGCTGAGTTTTTTAAGAGAAACCCACTATTTTTTAAATGGGTTAAAAACGCCATCTGTAATGAGCTTTGAGTTGTCTTCCCCATAAAAAAAAATTGGCCCGATCTCAAAACCTATAAAATACTATAAACTTAAAAACCCGTAAAATACTACAGAAATTGTATAGTTATACGTAATTAGTAGTGTATGACAGTAACCTATCACCACAATAAAGGAATGTATTTTATAGAAACATATTTATGTAATTGTACCATTTATTAAGAAAAATACTGAAATGGGTTACCCCAATGGTTCCCTCTGTCTGAATTTTATATTGTTGATTTTTTGGGAATGTTTTGATGTTATTTATTTTTTAAATTCATTAAAGTTAGGTAACATGTTTATAGTGCGACAAGGATCTTTATGAATATGGCGAAAATTGGAACTAACGCCGCCGTCTTTGTAAACATCATAATTTTGTATGTCATTTCCGGTCATTCACATAGACAGTGGTGCCCTCCCTGAACTCACATTTATAACGATCCTTGTCGGACTGTAACATGTTTAGTTTCGTGTTTTTTTTTATTTCATTAGATATTTAGGAATAAAATCACAGTTTTGTTCAGTATAGGTACATAGCATTTTCACAAAAAGCTAATTTCCTTCTAAGGTTGGTCCTTTTTAAAAAAGTATCAGTTTTTTATATATCAATACCCTCAGCACGAACAAAATATCGAATTCGTTACGTTTGCGAGTGTGAAATGTCATTTAAAATTTTGTATAGAAAATTGAACAGCAACGCCACAACAGACATAAGTAGAACTAAAAATACGTACACTTTAGACGTGTAACTAAATATCGAATTGAATTATTCAAGAATAGTTTGTGCCAAGGGTACAGTTCTACAAAAAGATTAGTGGTTCAGAAATCTGTATAAATATATTTATTGTATGTTTTACATTACTTATAACAAATCTTTATTATTATTTTTTATGCTAGTTGGAAACTTGAAAATATATTTGTGTCAATTTATTACATATTTTCTCTATAAATTGCAAATTGTTGATTTAAATGTTATTAATTGATTTTTTTGTGTATTATAATATATCTTTTGATAGTTTAATTGCAGCCGCAATCAGAGACGTAATCAAATTGAATGCTTCTTTATGTCACAAAGCAACAGCATCAACTATACTTAAACCTAAAAAAAATTACATCTCTGAGTGCCGTTATTCTTTTGACATTCCTCTGGTATTGACACACGATAAAATATTGTAAGCCACAAGTTCAGCTTCTCAGAATAAGAAAAATAATGCTTTTTTCTGTATGAGTCTACTTAATTTTATGCAATATGTTTTTTTTACTATCGTGAAGAGCGTTTAATTATTATATAGACCAATGTTTATAATTGTAAATAATTTACATTTGATTAAATATTCCTTACAAGTTACGTTTATATTTAAATTTTACATAAGGTCTGCTTAACAAGAAATTTTGCTATCTCCACTTTTGGTCAAAAATTATCTAACAATGGTGCCAATTCTGGTGTGATTCTCTAAACTTTAAACTAAATTTAACATCCGTCCCTCCTTTTCATTCTGTATAGAGAATAACAAGAATGGACTGTTGTCAAATTTAAGTTTAGATACAGAGAATCGTGCCAGAATCGACACCAATGGCGTTTGTTTCCTGTAATGTGAACACATCGTTTACGTAAATTTGGCAACTCCTTGACTCCTTGAATAAAGTGGAGATCGCAAATTTACATGTTAAGCAAACGATAAATATACCTAGTGCAATTGAAACTGGCACTTGTGAAGTTAGCAGCGAGTGCGAAGGTTTTACTTCAGTGAAATCCTGCGCGTACCTAAGTATATCACCCTATATACATTCGAAAACAGTGTCACGACTTGCGCTAACTTCATAGCCGTCATTAAGTTTGTTTATGTACCCCCTATAAAATTTTATACATTACCGGAAATAGGAAAGTATTCGAGCACTCGCGCCTAAAATTGATAAAGAGCGGTGGATAAATAAAGTAAAATACAGGGGTGTCATATTGGAGTTTCGGGTTTACTCTAAAAATCAACATCGTTCACTATTTACAGCTTTATTCAACTATCTCTTCGAAACTCTACACTCTACGACAACTCTATACTCTAAATTAATAAGGTTTTATTTCGAAGTACGCAGGAGACTACTAAGCAGCGGCTGCGTGTTATAGTCAGTCACATTCATATTAAATTATCGTGGCATTCAGTTCACAGATTGATTTCTATGAAAATTATTTTGGAGAGCACCACAGATGCACGTGCAGTCAGCAGGTGTGTATAGAATGCTTAGGAATAGCACCTTAACTGTTTCACTTCTGTATGAATGATTATTGATGACGTAAGGGGGGGTAGCGGGGGTTTTACCCGGACTAATGTCATTGACGCAGCTAGGGAGTTTTTTCATAGGGGGCAACCGTCCAGTTGAACTTATAAACATTTTGAAATTATTGAAGTGAAACTTCTTTATCGGCGTTGGAAAAAAATTTACCGTCACATTTTTTTAGCGTAACGTTTTTTGGTTACGCGCCATCTTTTTTTTAAAAGAGCACTATTTACCTCATCCGAACAATTGCTCCTTCTGTCAACTTTAAAAAAAAAAGTATCGACAGCAAATATTCGTGTTTCACACAAGGTAAGGTAAGGTGTAGTTATACCCCTTTAGTGGGTGAGTTTTTGAAAAATCTTAGCGCACGCCTATATATATATTTCTGGAAAGTTGCATGTAGATCATTTTTCGAAAAAAATAAGGCCATAAAGAAGTTTCACTTCTTACGTGTGTACACTAGTACACGCACACATTTTTTTTTTCAACTGTATCCAAGGAGGGCAGGTTTCATCATCTTTAAGATCAGATGGTTATCACAAACAAATGTAGAATTTTATTACCTCTAATTTGATTTTAAGCACATTATTATGCCCGTGAGAAGAGGGATATTTTAAAGTGAGACGCCCCAGGCGGAAAGCCCCCGCTACGCAACGATACGGTGATTACGTAGGTATGAAAGAAAATGAATACAAATGTATATAAATATAAAATTTATTTATTAGTTCTGTTTGTATGTGTAAGTTATTCAGTTTATTTACTGACTATTTAAGTCTTTATTAATGTTACTCTTTTGAATAGTCTTCCTTATTTTCTCATAAAATTTATAAATCTTACTCTTTTCCATAAAAAAATCTGGCAACTCTGAACACATTCCATGTTTAAGTACAACCACAGATTCGATAATAGTTCCTGTACAACTATCATGAACCTAGGATTTCTCTAGAATTAAGTATCAACCAGAGACTTAATAATGACATAATGTGTTATATCTAGGTCTTAATTAAATCTGATATTCATGTTATGGATCAGCTATCAAAATTATAGAAAAAAATCAGATAAGTAAATTAAAGCAATTATTGTAATTATAAATTCTTACTGTTATTACCATCTTATTATAATATAATAAAAAATATTTACAAAGGCTTAATGCATAATAAAATACAATAGCGAAACTAAATAGTGCATGTGAAAATTTGTACATACAAAATACATATTTTACATGTAACACACAAATACCATAATCAGATTTAGAACTCAATAAATTGTTCTTGTAAATGGTATTGTAAAATAATAATACAGTCTGAAAATATTCATTCAGAAATAGAGAGCATTCATACTTGTGTACAGTACAGTGTGTGACTCAAATAATTCTTCATTTGCCTCGAAGAAAATGATCACGCATCTCATTCACCTGCACTGCTCCACTTTGTACACATTCTAAAATTGCCAGCAGAAGCCTTGTGACTTTATGTTTGGCAGCAAACTCTAACAAATCACAGGCATTTTCTGCAGTCAACATACTGACTAGCTTATCAACACATTTTTGCTCTAAATCGAGCATCATGTAATATGATGCCAAGAGCAGCAACTGCTCTAGGCCAACATTGGGTAAAATATGCAAATAAATATAATCTTTGAGGTTCTGCAGTGTAGCTCTAGAAGTGCCAGGAACATCAACATGACCTTCTGCAGCCTCCCGCCAAGTACCTCCTAACATTCGTCTTAACACTGGGCTGGCAGCTGCAAGCACTGCACGATGCATGCGTATTGATCCATCCTCTCCTCTCAGCTCAAAGTCAGTTAATTCTGTGTCTTCATGAAGCATTGCAAAGGAACTAGCACTAGGAACTATATCCATATGCACGGTTACATCAAAAGAGTATTGTTGTCTTTTATTGTCATGAACTAAATGCCACGTACCATCATCACTTATGAAACTCTTGTTTACTATTCCCAATTCATTGCTTGAAAATTTTATAGTATAAGTCAAGTCATCGTCTTGGCGAAGTTTGACAAATCTAACAAATATCAAGTTATTGTACACATTTGTATGACCATTGTTTACTTGTGCTGCAATTACTTTGACCTGAAATACAGCTGTTCCGCTTATTACATAGTCTGGACTGGTCTTTGTGGCAAATGGTGTGTTATAGTTTGTTACGCCAAACTTGGCCTGCAATGTGTTCCCTCTTTGAATTACATCTTTTACTTCCATCCTGGAAAACAAAATACTTTATTTCATTTTTACGATTTTTACGTTAGAACTTTACTGGAAGATTTTAAGTAAGCTCTGAAAAAAAAACAATACTGGGATATATTATACAGGCATAATTTAATAGTGAAGAACAAAGAATGAGTACGAGAGCACAATAAATAAATGTAATTTGGTGAAGAGGCCATTAGTTTTTAACTTAAACAAGTAGGTATTCATTGTAAACAAAACCATCCCGCGGTCGCACCTTTGGAAATAAATCGTACTGTAACCAAATGAACTAAAATAAAACCTATAATTTCACTTTTCCGATTTTCAATCCCAAACAAACTAACGTCAAAACATAAAGTTTTTTTTTTAAATAATATATTCTGTTACAGAGCAGGCAAAGGATATGAATTCCATTCCATAGACACATACAATCTTGGTTGGTGGACGAACTTCAAAAATAGGTATAAAATCCGCGCCACCACTCAAGTCCGAACGGGAAGTCTAACTAATGTGACAGCTCCACCATCTATCTTGTCTATTGTCAAGTGTGCGAGTTGCGAGCAAGGAAGTTATAAGTTGTTTGGTTGCGAGTGTTGTTTAAGCAGTGGCGGATTTGCAGTCTTAGCCGCCCTAGGCCCTAAAACATCAACCGCCCCTTTCTCAGCATCCACCATAGACTACTTAATCAAATTACTTTATTGCCAACTTTTATCTAAATAGATTTAGAAAATTAGGAAAAAAATTGTTTTATTTCGCAAGAATAAGGTACATAAGTTGTTACAACTAGTTACTTGTTCTAACATACTCTGCCAAATTGGTATACTTGGTTATGATAACTTTTACACGAGTATGATCAACTTTTAACACTTAATTGCGAGTTAAATATTTAAATGGTGTCAATTCTGGCGTGCATCTCTAAACTTAAAACTAAATTAAAGGTCAGTCTCACCTTTTCATTCTGTATAGAGAAGGACAAGGATGCACTGATGTCAAATTTAAGTTTAGGTTTAGAGAATCATGCCAGAATCGACATCAATGGTGTCGATTCTAGCATGATTCTCTAAACCTAAACTTAAATTTGACAGCAGTATATCCTTGTCATTCTCTATACAGAATGAAAAGGACAGACTGATGTTAAATTTAGTTTTAAGTTTAGAGAATCACGCCAGAATCGGCACCAATATCTAACTAAACACAATTAATTTGTTCGGAGCTGCTTGTTATCCCAAGTGCGGGTAGGTAGTGTGGGTAAAAGTAACTATAAGTTTACTAGAATAAATAATGATAGCTGCTAATTTCTAATATTTTACGCGGTTTCAGGAATAATTTAAATAAAAGGCAAAACTGTACTGCCAGGTCCCAAGAGGTGCTACTTGATTTTTTTGACTGGCAGTAGTACTCAGTGGTATTCGGTAAATATACAAATGCTTTGAAGACCTTCAGTTCGTAACCATTTCAAGAAACTGACAGCACTGTTCCGATCTTAATTTTTATAGTGCACAGTGAGCACGAAAATGGAAATTTATTTCTTTGATTTCTGAAAAATCGTCTTCTAAGTCAGTAGAATAAATTATTTGCAATGCTTTGGCCTTTTCTTTGATTTCTGACACGCTTAATTTTTAATAAAACGAGTTTCAACGGGTTAAATGCACTGATTTTATTTTATTTATTGACGTTTCGCATCCTTTGCAGAAATGCGTCTTCGGGATAATGATGTTTTATTTACTTTATCGCTTAATTTTGTGACATTAAAGTGTTGATTACATGGCCCTAAATCTAGCCGCCCTAGTCCTGGGCCTACCGAGCCTTAGGGTAAATCCGCCACTGTCTTTAAGGTAGATGATAACATTACGGATACCTATCTTATGTCAAATACGCTAAAGAAGTTTTCACTTCAAAAATATTTATATTTCAGTTCTTTGATGATTGAAGATTAATTTTAAATAACTTTTTGATAGTAATTATACTTTATTCAATATCTAAACAAGAGGTAAACCTGCGTCATTCTTAAGTAAAACTCACGGAGGTTAGATGTTTTTTTTAAATTAGCGAGAAAATCAATATTATAATGTATTATGTTACAACAAAAACATATTTCTGCTAATGTAGCAATTAATCTATGATAGTTTATTCCATCTAATTCATAGATTTAGGAGTTTGATCGTTTTTCCCCTAAACAAGGTGCGATAGAACGATCAGTACAAAAAAAAATGGTTGCCTGTAAAGTCGGTTTTACGGGCGAAGATTTTACGTGACAACGTCTTTTTCTCGGTAGAATATTTATTGATATGAATATAATTAAATTGCACAATAGGAACAAGGAATTGAATGAAAATAAGAATTGCACAAATTTTAACTATAGAAATATATTTTGTTTACTAAAACATTGTACATGTAAACTTAAACTTAACACGAGAGACTCATCGTAACGTTACCGAGCGTTACACTTTTTCATAAGTGACTCCCAGCCGCAACCTAATTTAAGACGTTGTCACGTCAAAAAGGATAATAATATTTACAAATATTCTGCATTAACTTACAATAAGAAGGGTAAATCTACAAGTTACTTGTATCAAAAATAGTCAAAATCATTTCTAATACGATAAAGTAGGCGCTCAAAAATTACGATTTCTTGCAAAAAAAAAGTAAAAGGGGAATAGTAGGACACCTAAAAATCTATACATTGAACACTATCCAACTTGAAAAAACTGATATTTCTTTGTTTTGTTACCTTTTTATTTGTGTTTATTTCATATCATTCATATCAATATAATAATTGAACTACTCAATATGTTAAAAGAAACGTCTAGTTACATCTGATTTATCTTAAATTAATTTTAAATGTAAAGGACACCAGTCCCCGTAGCATGAGCACCACAATGGTGTCGATTCCAGCATGATTCTCTAAACCTAAACTTAAATTTGACAGCAGTATACCCTTGTCAGTCTCTATACCTACAGAATGAAAAGAAGAGACTGATGTTAAATTTAGTTTTAAGTTTAGAGAATCACGCCTGATTTGGCACCAATTTACATTGTATCACGTTTTTTTATCGCGTCTAACTGTCAAACTCCATAGTAGTTCGACATAAAATTGAGCGTGATAAAAACACGTTTTAAATCATAAAGTGGGTTAGGACAACAGTTTGAGAATTGCTCACATATTATTGAGAATCGCTACGGAACGTAGCTCCTTGGGCCGTGTTCCAAACCAACGACCCTAGTGCAACTTTTCACTCTGATGTTTAAATTTTCCTTGCCTTGACATTTGTAGTTAGTGCACGATAGAAGAGCGTAGGTTTGGAACGCAGGCATAGAAAAGTGAAAACTTGAAAAGTTATTAAGTTTAGAAAAGAAAAAGAAATTAATGAAAAGAATGGCTGGACATTTTAGAAAATTTATAGGTATTACCAAATTATTAGACAAACTTATCTGCAAGACAAATGAATGACTACCTACTTAGACGTTCTTTATTCATTACAGATATTGGTGCTAACCTTACCGATGATATGTATCAAGGCATTTATCATGGCACAAAGAAGCACGATGCAGACCTAGCGAAAGTTTTGAATAAGTCCTGGATCAGCGGTCTTGATAAAATTATAATCACTGGTGGAAGTTTGTGTGATAGTAAACAATCTATTGAATTGAGTCGCAGTGATGGTATGTGCCTGTCAACTTTATTTTTTGTTATTTGACCAACATGCTAATCGTCTAATACCATAACAATAGTTGATTTTAAAGGGCCCTTTAATACATTACACTTTTTACCTCCGTAAAATTTCTGACAATTAACATATTGTTATCGGAACTGTACTTCTATTATTCCAATCTATTTCAGCTCGCCTATTCTCTACTGTAGGATGCCACCCTACAAGGTGCAAGGAATTCTTAGATAAATCTGAAAATTATCTTGATAATTTAAGAAAACTGATTGCTCATAATAAAGACAAAGTAGTTGCAATTGGTGAATGTGGGTTGGATTATGAACGATTACAGTTTTGTGAGAAGGAAGTGCAATTACAGTAAGTTTTACTTGTTCTTAAGAGGGGAGGTGGGTAATGTTTTTTTGATACCAATGTTCTCAAATGATTCCTCCTTGATTTTTATGACTAAAGAAATTATTTTCATATGTAAAATATAATTTACTTGTTCTATGCTTATGTTTCTGCCTTTTTTTTATAATTCTTGTTTCAAAGTAACTTGAAGCCCTCAAAAATGGCATAAATAAACAAATTTTTATCACCACTAAAGATGTCTAGTATGAAGATTCAATAAAAAATTACAAAAAACCCATCTAGCCGATTTATAACTAAACTAGTGGCCCGCCCTCGCTTCGCTTCAGGGTAGAATTGATCAAAATCCTTTCTTAGCGGATGCCTACGTCATAACATCTACCTGCATGCCAAATTTCAGCTCGATCTGTCCAGTGGTTTGGGCTGTGCGTTGATAGATCACTATGCCAGTCAGTCAGTCACCTTTGAGTTTTATATATATAGATAGTATTCCATGGGTAAAATTGATTAGCTACTGCTGTCCCTATCGTATTTGCCGATGCATGACAGCAATAGTTTTTTCAAATATCTATTTCTCAAATGTCTCTCAGCTCACATCTGCTTTAAATGAGACCTGCAATACCAATGCCATATGTTTTGGTACATGAGAGTTAATGAACTAAAGCCAAATTATATGAAACTTATAGTTGTTGTTTGGTCAAATGCATACACATCATCATCATCATCAGCCTATTAATGTCCCCACTACTGGGGCACAGGCCTTCCCTATGGATGGAATAGGGAGATTGGGCCATGACCCACCATGCTGGCCCAGTGCGGATTGGTGGGTGCTAATGACTGCAGATGCAGCCGGGACCAACGGCTTACACAAATATGTATAAAATAATCATATCTACTTTATTTTAATTAAAATAAAAGCCATACTTGATTATTACTGACAAATTATGGAATTTCTAAATGTAATATTATTTCTCAAAACACAAATCATCAAGAGCTTTGAAATTTCAGGTATTTTGAGCTACAGCTACAGCTTAGTTCTGAATTCAATTTGCCACTTTTCTTGCACTGTCGTGCTGCTGCAGATGATTTAGTGGATATACTCACCAGAAATAAGGATAAATATATTGGTGGTGTAGTACACTCATTTGATGGAACACAAGAAGCTCTTAACAAAATTCTTGCACTAGACCTTTATATAGGCATCAATGGATGGTAATTCAACTTGATGAAATCTGCTTACATAATAGATACTTATGACTTTAAAATATTTAAGAGCTTTTAATCCTGAGGTCCTGGGTTTACCTGGTGATCAGTGGCATTATTTATCCGAGGGTCAAGAGGGCCATGGTCCAGGGTGGCAGGCTGCGAGGGGTGGCTGCAAGAGCTGCAAATGGCAGCAAAAGCTACATGCAGGTATTTGTTAGTGGCTGACTAACCACTAGTTGGGGATTAGGGATGATTATAAAATAACTTTGAGATCATCAGTAAAGTTTTCTAATGGTTTCATGAGTCCAACAGTATGATGGTATATTTAGGATGATAGGTACTTATTCAAATTATTTTACTTTAGAGACTACATTTACCTAGTAATTTATTTTTACATAATTTATAACTCAGTGTGCCTTTTAGCGAAGGCCTCCTCTAACTCTTTCTATTATTTTCCCTGCTAGGCATCCTTGTTCTTTAAATGTAAAGAAAATTTTACTAGAACAAAATCCACGCAGACCAGGCAAGAGACGGGACTCGAACCTGCACCCTCCACTATCCGGGCGGATGCACTGACCATTATGGTACCGCGGCCCTAATGGCCGTGTCGAATTTAAAGTTGACTCATTTCAATCCAAGGCAGCGCCCTCCTTTTTTCATTGTAGGTAATCCTTGTTCTTGTTTTTTCTACCAACTACTATAATTATATATCCTATAACTTTACTGGTTACCCTTTCCTGCTCTTAACTTCTCTTCAGTATCATAAGAAGGCTTCTAAGTACAGATTGTTCTGTAATCGGTTCTCAATACAGAATTTATTTTATTTTAAAAATACTCGTGTTGTCCCACATCTAAAAGTTACCCCAGAAAAAATGTAGCTCTTTATGCAATTTTAATATAGCAAAGGTTTGATTTTTTTAAATTGTTTCTTTTTATTATGGCTTCAGTTCACTAAGAACAGAGGAGAATTTAAATGTAGCTGCTAAAATCCCTCAAGATCGATTGATGATAGAAACTGACTGCCCATGGTGTGAAGTGAAGCCTACACACCCTGGTTATAAGTATGTAACTACAAAATACGCAACTGTGAAGAAAGAGAAATACTCTGTTGAGTCTGATTGCCAAGTGAAGGGGAGGAATGAGCCAGCAAATATCATGTAAGCAAATTCACTTTTTTTTAATTATACTAATATAAATTTGCTTCTATTTGGATTGCCTTCCCTTTGGCAGTGGTTCCTAACTTTTCAGTGACGTGGGACCATTTGACAAATTTTCTGTCTTCCATGGACTACTACTTACAATTTGCACTCCCCCTACATTTTATAAATAAATCAGCGTTCTTACTTGGGTAATATATTTTTCGAATAGCTTTGCGGTTGTTTCCAGGGAAACCCAGTTAAGAACCACTGCTTAGGATGGTATAACGAGATTGGGCCATGATATCTTACGTAACCCATCGCGCGAGCGTAGTGTGGATTAGTGGATGCTAACGACTGCATGAACTGAACTCATGTTGGACCAATGACACGCAGGAGCTGACCATAGTAAACTTTTTCCACATTTATCCGATCAGTGGCCATTGCTTAAGTTGCTTAACTTCATAACCGAACGCGTTGACCGCGTGGGCGTGCGCAATCGAGGTCACCATTCGCTACTATAAGATTGATAGCTTAGTTAGCCGATCTGTATTCCTGTTAATCAAATTAATTACTTTGTTGTTAACAATAATAAATATCATTCTTCTCTTGTCACACAACAACCATGACAAAGAAGGAAAATGCACACATTCAAACTCCTACTTCGCATGTTAATTAAGTTAAATTTCTTTTATTTCAGACAAGTACTCGAGATATTAGCAGCAATAAGAAAGGAAAATGTAGATGAACTTGCAGATGCAATTTACAATAACACTGTGAAGTTGTTCTTTAGCAATAATAAGAATATTAATCCTGTTTAAAAAATATTTATTAAATCTATTGATCATAGATCTGTTGTTTGAATGATAATACCTTATTTCTAAGCTCATAACTAATTATAGGGTAGAACATTATCCCCCACATTAATAAACGCAGAATAACTTTGGATTAGGTAGTCCATGTTTTGTCTCTGTTTGTTGAATTACAAATGGCATTTGAATGAATGAACATAAAGTTTCTAATCGAGTGACGATACGATCAAACGTCGTAATATACTCATGACGCGCTGTCAAAGTTGTAACTTGTACAGTCGCCATCAGATATATCTGAGCATACAAGATGACCAAATACATCTGAACAGTTAAAATGTCAATAAGTTCTATACACTACAAGTGACCATAAATATCTGATCATTCATTACTTCAATAATATCTGAGCAGATGCCTGTCAATAATATCTGAACATACAACTTTTCAAAAATATCTGAACAATTTTAATAGGACCTCTTAATTATTTATTTATAATAAGATGACGCTGGCAGTTAAGCACTTTCCAGTTTTTATTCTTATCACCTCTGTCATGTGTCATGCACAAATAAATTCAAGCAGCTTGCTTACGTATTAGTTCATACCATAAATTAACTATAATTAATATGAGTTCGTACCGTATTGATGCGGAAATGAAACATAAAATAATACAACTAAAAAATTATGGTTTATCCGTAAAAGATATCGCCGATGAGCTAGGGATAGCAGTAAGTATCACGGAGAAAAATGCTAAAAATCAATTGCCCACAAAACATGAAACTTTATTCACAAAGTATAAAATTGTATTTATTTCAGAGAAATACTGTATATTTATGGCTAGAAAGATGGCAGCAAGGAGAAACATTAAATAATCATGTTTCATTTGGTCGCCCGCGTATTACTACAAATAACCAAGACATAGCTATTATAGATAAAGCCAAAAATGACAGATTTATAAACACTACACAATTTTCAAGCACATTCGAAATATCCACTAGCACCATTAGAAGACGATTAAAAGAAGGAGGTTTAAAAAATAGAGTACCGGCAAGAAAACCAACTCTCACGCCAAGGCACAAAATGCAGCGGCTACAATTTGCAGCTAATTATTTAAATTTTAATTTTCAAAACGTTATTTTCATGGACGAAAAGATTTCTGCTCATGGCGACCCGAAAACACACGTTACTTAGAACAAAATGTGCTGCTTAATCGCCGGAGTGGACGTATTTCAATTGGATTTTGGGGAGGGATGTGCAAAGATGGTCCTGGTGAGCTTGTGGAAATAAGTGGACGAATGAATGCAATGAATTATAAGGAACTTCTGGAAGATACTTTTCTTCCTACAGCTCAAGTTTTTTATCCAGAACAACAAATTACATTCCTTCAAGACAACAGCTCAGTACATAATGCTCGTACAGTACTGACATGGATTAATGAACAGAGAGAACTAACTTTAATCAAACTACCACCAAAAAGTCCAGACCTCAATCCCATCGAAAACCTTTGGGGTAAATTGGTGCAAGAGTGGGATGGGAATCAATGTCGAACAACAGAAGCCTTAAGGCGACATGCAAATGATGTTTGGGAATCGTTCAGAGGTCGAGGTTTTTGTGAGAAGGTAGTTGGTTCCATGAGGAAACGTTTACAAGACGTATTAAATGCAGAAGGAGGTTACACAAAATACTAATGTTTCATGAGAAGTATATAATTGGTCAGCCTTTAAATAATTTGGTCGGCACAAAAAGATTTTGTAAGCAATTTAAAAAATCAGGCAGCAATCCTTGTTCGGCAAATAATTATATAATGGTCAAAAATTTAATATGAGAGTATACAAGATGGCTCATTTAAATGGGTCAGTATGGGAAAGTCTGAACTATAATTTAAACGAAGATCTGTTCTTAGGAACTTTGTCATCGATTTTAATAAAAATTAAAACTGCATTCATACATTTAAGAAAAACCCTGTGGTCAGCTCGGGAATCAAACCCGGTCGTTTTGAAAAAAAAACTAACACTATTTCCTATTTCTATTTATTAGTAAGATAAGTTACCTATACGTGTTAAATTTTGTATTAAAAAAACGGTGGTCACTTAGAACCTCTACTGAAATAATTTAAATTATGTGACAAAAATGCGTTTTACTCATTTTAGACATCACGTTTAATAGAAACATTTACTGCTTCAGACCTACATAATCGATATTTAAATAGAAATAGTGTGTTTTTTTTTCAAAACGACCGGGTTTGATTTCCGTGCTGATCATAGGGTTTTTCTTAAATGTATGAATGCAGTTTTTATTTTTATTAAAATCTTGTTCCTAAGAACAGATCTTCATATATATTATAGTTTCAGACTTTCCCATCCTGACCCATTTCAATAAGCCAACCTGTATAATGAGAGTGGAGGGTTACCCGGGGAGAGGAAGACCGAAGAAAAGATGGGTAGATTATGTGAATGAGGACATGGCCAGTAAGGGAGTGAGTGTTGATATTGCGAGTGATAGAGGAGAATGGAAGCGGAAGACATGTTGCGCCAACCACAAATAGAATTGGGAAAAGGGCATGCAAATGATGATGGTCAAAAATGAAATCATAAAAAGGCAGCTTACAATAACATGGATCTGCAAGATTTCATAATCCATGTCTGTACTGTAGATTGGTTAGCAGGAGAAAACATGTCTTTAAGCAGTATATTTGAATAGTATGCATATTTAAAAACCAGTCAAGTGCGACTCGGACTCGCTCCGTACCATTATCTAAATAAATATTTTTATATTGAATTAAATGTAAATTGCGGTTGTTTTTTTTTAAATTCGTCATATTATTTGTAAATAATATGACGTATTTAAAAAACAAATTACTTGGCCTCGTTCAAATCAACTTTTGCTAGAAGTTTGCAAGGTAATGTACAGACACGAGCTTTAATCTGGGCCCCACCTTTGAATATCGTGTAGCAATCTGCTGCAAGCTATATTAAGCTAATATTTTAATGCAAAGTCAATGTCATAATGTTTACCATTGACAACTTTACGTTTCTAGGGGCAACCATGCAATTACGTCATCTGAAGCGACAGCAAAAGATCATTTCTGATGTTATGTTATGTTCCGTTTCCGAATTATACTTTGTAAAAATGTCACATTAAACTGTTTTCTTCACTGACACTGACACGAAATAGTATTTTGTAAAGAGGTTATCATTTCAAGGGTCGATTCGTTATGACATTATGTCATCAAAACACTATCAAAGTAAAATATCGACCTTATTGCATTATGAATCCTAACAACATTTAGTGGAAATGGGTCCCATATTAAATTTATAGACCTATCAATTTTATAGACCTATCCATACCCCACACGTAAAGATTTGATTAAAAAAAATTCTAAGTCCATAAGTTTTTTTTTCTATTTTTGTATGAATATCGTTTTTTTGCCATTTGGCTACGAAACCCTAAAAATGGTGAGCAAAATAACTAATTGGTCTGCGTTTTTGTTGAAAAGTCGACAATATACGTTACGGCCGTCTACGTCTGTTAGAAATTCCCGTCTAAACGGGCATTGATAATATTGGGAAATTATTAAGCTAATAATAATACGTTAATTTCAAGAACCTTACTAATTGCCTGATAACTTTTTGATTTGATCTCATGTATAATTATAAGAATAAAACATTTTGTTACTATTTAATTTTAAACTCATTGTATCAGAAGTTGCTTTTTTTTTATTTCGATCTCGATTATAATTTTATTATAATAATAAATACTTAAGCTTAAGCATCTACTGAGGTAGGTACCAAGTTAATTCGTTTACATTTTTTGATTATTTAACTCAATAAAAAATTATAAGAATTAAAATTGTTTTTTATTAATTTTCACTTTTATAAATAATACATACCCAAACCAAACAAACACATCCACTCAGACAGTAAATAATTTTTTTGTAAGGATGGCGCCCAGTTTGAGCATGACAAGTACAGAATTCCATTTTCCACTGCAATGGAAATAGTGGAACAAATGTTTCCTCCAAATTATTACTTATTTCTATTGCGGTTAAAAAACGCAGTTGTCTTATTTTAAAATAAATTTCTAAGAAGATATTGAGAATTTAATCTATAGAATAAAATAAAAACATAACTTCTCGTTAATTATAAAAAAAATGGATGCGTGTAACTTATGTACGCGCGTGAGAAGTTATACTTCTTTAGCAGCATTAAAAATATTTTTTAATTGCATGCAAATAATTAATAATTACAATAAAATAATAAAAGGACTGGAAAAGGATAGTTAACACAGTCAATTAAGTTCAGTTTTAATTTGAAAAATTAAATAAATATTCAAAATATTCAATTAAAATCACTACTGAATTTAAGTTATTAGTCCATATGTAATTAGCACTTGTAAGTAACTAAAACACGTTGTGTCTATATAGAAACTAGAAACATGTGGATAAATATTATAAATATGAAAACAGTGATCTGAGGCGACGAGCGTGCCAACATTGTTTTTGACAACGCGATCATCTTATGGAGCTCCGTGGATCGTTCAAAGTACCTTTCGAACAGATGTCTAATAATGGTGGATTATTAACCACTAAGTGGTTAATAATCCACCATTATTAGACACTAACATTCATAACGCGCCCGCGGCCAACTTCATGGTGTTACTATTGTGTTACAGTGATGCGCGCGCATCTAAAAATTTCACTCTCATCATTTTTTCATAACGCGCCTAAAGAAGTATAACTTCAAAAATAAATAGAGAAAAAATTAGGCATCTTCCATTTCTACTACTCGTGGTGACCTACACGAATGATTTTCTGATAGATTTTTATTCCCTTCTCATCGTATTTATTCCTTATATTTAGCCTTTGTTTTTAGTTCATCCTTTCAATCACGCAGTAACAAAATATGTAAGCCCAGTGCATGATCTGCGTAGATACATAATCATTGACGTGTTCAGATATTTTTGAAAAGTTGTATGTTCAGATATTATTGACAGGCATCTGCTCAGATATTATTGAAGTAATGAATGTTCGGATATTTATGGTCACTTGTAGCGTATAGAACTTAATGAAATTTTAACTGTTCAGATGTATTTGGTCACCTTGTATGCTCAGATATATCTGATGGCGACTGTACTGCTAAAATGCAAACGACATAGGTACGAAAACTTTGGTAGTTTTCGTTTTACGATGACTCGATGAAACTCTTAATGCTGATTTTTGTTTTTGATAGTTAACGGTAGGGGCGCTGCTAGTCAATGCATGGAAACGAGACGATACGATTGATCGAATTCTAAAACGATTAAAACTCATACTAGGGGTACTGATTAAAGTTGGAAAGATACGACTGCAATGTTCGTCGCATCGGCTGGATCGGTTTCGGTCCAACTAGTAAGACTTATTTTTAATATAGGGCGCCGAGAAGCATGCCTACGCGGCGCTCTCAACGTTTAATCCGTGATGGTAGGGAATTTTTCTCCCCGACCATAACACTATTGTTATAGATGGGAACCCTTTCACACGTGTGATGGTTAGGAATGCATCGAAATAAATATCTCCTTTAGAGTTATGTTGCCCTGGTACATCAATCAGCTTTATTCATAATGGTAGGGATTTGTGGGGGCTAACGACTGCGGATGCAGCCGGGACCAACGGCTTCGTGCTTTCCGAAGCACGAAGGAGCTCGAGATTATAAGTTTTCGGTCACCCATTCAATGACCGACCATTGCATTACAGAGCATTATTAGAAGTTGCTTATCTTCCACGATCGCATGCCGAACATCGAGCTCCTCAACCTGCGAGTATCACAAGTCAGACGATGGTGTCCACTTATCATCAGTAGGCCTATTCGCTAACTGCTTTTGACAGATCGAAGTGATAATCACTGAGCACTAAGATACTTGTTCACAAAAGCATTGATGGCTATGCAATTTTCTCTTTAGTTGCACTCTGAAATGTCAAAACTTAGCTAATAGGCCACCTGGTGACTGTGTACTAGGTATGTGCTTGTTGTCCTTTTTTTAATTAGGCTTCTACTATACCCGTGAAGCAACGCCAGCAAGAGTAACCTATGCAGTTTTGTTTAAAACAGTAAGTAGTTGATTACTTTTGCTGAAGTTGGTGGCCAAACTACATACATGTGAGTTCATGCAAGACCAACCTACATTTATCTCTAGAAGAAATGTCCGACATAGACTACACTTCTGGACACATCTATTGGCCCACCTTGTATTTTCAGTTTCGTTTGGTCCTAGCTAAAATTTTATATTAGGTCGAGGAAAAAGTTTTTATGCAGTTTTGAACCTGGCACATTCACAATTTCATTCAATAGTCTTTTTATGAATTTCGAACACAGAATTTAAAGAAAAAAAAGACAATTTGGAGCCTGTTTGTTGATATCAAACAATCGAATACTAAGAAAACTTGGCTTTATTGGTTTACTTGGATTTAATTCTTGAAAAAGTGATTGATATCTTTGGTTTTGCAACAAACATTACTTATTCTTAACATTAAGGTGAGGTTCTATCAATAATCTATGGATACTTCACCTGAAGTTGCCGCCCAAGCTGTGGCACTTATTCAGGCCGGACACAGCCAAAGAAACGTGAGTGCTCAACTTAATTTAAGTCGATCTGCGGTCCGAAATGTTTATCGGAGGTACCTAGAGACTGGCGGCTTTGTTCGTCGCCAAGGAAGGCCACGATCTCGGGTCACAACTGAAAGGCAGGATCGATTCATCGTGACGACCAGCTTGAGAAATCGTCACCTTACCTCCATTGAGATACAAAAACAAATTCGCGACTTCCACGGAGTATCTGTGAGCGCTCGAACTGTTCGGAGAAGGTTAAAAGAACGCAATATGGTACCACACAAGCCAGCTAATGGGCCCAAACTAACGCGAGCCCACCGAACAGCGCGCCTTCATTTCGCACGCAGTCAGTTAAATTGGACACAGCAAGATTGGAGCCGTGTACTCTTTTCTGATGAGTCTAAAATTGTGTTACATGGCAATGATGGAAGGAAGAAGGTCTACCGACGTAAGGGAGAGCGTTTCGCACAATGCTGCTTTGAAGAGAGGGTTGCTTATGGCGGTGGCTCATGGACTGTCTGGGGCGGTATATCCGCGAGCGGCAAAACTCAACTTGAGGTTGTTACAGGACCACGGCTGCCAACATTTAATGCTGAAAGGTACATTCGTGAGTGCTTAGAACCTCACGTGATACCATACGCGGACTATGTGGGCCCAAATTTCCTTTTTATGCATGATAATGCAAGAGCCCATGCGACCGGCATCGTCAGGGAATATCTTCGGGATGTGAACATCACAGTTATGGACAGGCCAGCCAGAAGCCCAGACATGAACCCCATTGAGCACATGTGGGACGAGCTAAAAAGACGTGTTAGGGCTCGTCAGCCAGTTGCCCAGACGATACAGGAGTTGAAAACTGCCATAGAAGAGGAATGGGAGATGATCCTTCAAAATTTCATAGAGCGGTTGATAAACTCTATGCCTAATTGTATGAGAGCTGTGGTAGATGCCTATGGAGGCAACACGCGTTATTAAATTAAACCTTTATTTGATAAAACATGTTTTATATTCAAAAATCAATTGCCTTTAACAAGGCGCATATCCGACTTGTTAGGCGTAGCTCCATGTCGTCTGGTATTCTGAATTCAAATTTAAAACAATACGATCGAAAAAGATGGTAAAATGTATCAGGTTTAAAACTGCATCAACAGTTTTTGTTCAATCTAGCAATAATATTTCGGTAAGGGCCATCGAAACCTAAACTCTAAGGTGGGCCAATAGATGTGTCCAGAAGTGTATAATAAAAACAAAATATATATCATTTTCATTTCATATATTTAAAAACACACAATCATTCATCAACACAAATAAATATACTAAAAACTTATAGCCCTATATTCTCATATAAAACAATTGATTTCTTGAGTAAACAGTGTTCATACAATTTAATGAAGAACTTGTATAAAAGATAAAATTTTAAATGCATGAATAGGAATGTGACAATTTAGAATACTGAAGCAATTTCGAAATCAGTAAAGCTAATGATTTTTATGATGATGTACAGAAAAATAATTTAATGATGATCATGATGATATGGTCCAAATTATTGCATCAATGACAACTATAAGACTACGTTATGATCAACAATATTTAAAACTATAAGATTCATTTGTAGCAGTAACAAGGATATTGTTGTACTTGTTAATTCACTATTGATGATGGGGTCAAAATTAAATTTGTTAAGATATCACAAAATGGAGAATCGTGCAATCATTTTTGTGCTTCGATTGTGACAAATAATGTGTAGAATTACTATCACACAATATAATAATATGTTGTACTGATTATTTGAATTAAGTTCACTACAATGTTGTGTATCTTGTAAATATTTTTCTGTAGTGACCAATTCTTGTTTGGTTAAAATTAATTTGTTTTGCTAAGACTAAAAACTGGGATGAAACTAAGTATGTATTTACTTCAGGTTTTGCTTCTAGAATGAATATAAAACTAATAACATGTCCGGATGAATGAAATGTAAATTATAAAAAGTATGTTTTGTGCTCTCTTACTGACTTCATTAAAAGCAATCCCTATTCACTGCTGAAAATAGATTGCTCGATTCTCCACATGTAAACTTGACAGAGATATATGAAGTAAACTTATGGTTATCTACTTCAAGGTATTTCCGAGTATAAGTGAACTTGTTCCCTGAACCAGTGGAAGTAAGATGACATGTGGGTTCTGGTGACGTTGAGTGCAGTTTGCGTTTTGTTTTGCAGAATTTCAGGGGCCCATTCTCCTCTGGAATAGGAAAGCAATTTCAGAACAAAACAAAGAATTGTCTCCACATATACCATGTGTAAGATTATAATATGTAGTCATAATTAATTATCATACTTACACAAACACTTTAGTTGTCAAGTAATCAGTTGTGAACTGATAATATTCTATGGTGAATTTTCTAACAGCACCATATCCTGCCGATGCATAATTCTTCACATTATCTATAAGACCTGGTGCATACTGCTCTACAGTTGCTACCACAACAGGTGTCTTTTCAGCGACATATTCTTGTACATTGCCATATAGAATGCCAGCTTTCTTAACAGTAATAAAGAACACATCCTTGGATAGTTGTAAGTATGGCTTGCATATTTCACTGGTTTGTTCATAGTAGGCAGGAGCGTTGGTTTCCAGCCAAATGTAGCCACGGGCAGATGTCGAGAGTGTTTTCTGCCAAGCTTTCTGGCTGTGCTCTAGAATGCCCAGATCTTTGAACAGTTTCCCTGTAGTGCTTTCTGTAAAAGAACAAAACAAATTTCAAAGAACTGGTCACTTTGATAAAATAATTAGTATTTAAACAAAGTCATGAATCATGACAATTATATCAATAATATTAGTTACTAAAATTTTGATAAAATAGCTACTAGTTTAAATATTTTCAATAGTTGTGTTATTTCTGTTGATAATGCTCCTGATCAATAACAATACCTTCTAGAATCTCCAACTATAACTTTTTCCTTCTTGTTTATTTAGTAATCAAGTAATCATCACAGAAGTTTATTAATTGATAACCTAGTTATTGAGTACAATAGTATTAGTTAAAACTTTCATATCACTAAAACTGTGTAGTACTCAATTCAAATCAAAGTTTATTTGTGTTAAAATTATATGTGAGAATGGTTTAATAAATAGATTGACAAGAATAAAAAAACTGAGTAAACTTATACAGCCTTATTAAAAACATAGCCTAAAGTTAATCCTAGACTAAAATTGATGCTGTCACTTTTGCTTGCTAAAAAGAAGACAGACAACATGAGGCTTAAACTAAGACTACCTTGAGTCCACGTTTTGAAATAAGGAGGTGTATGTTTTAATAAGTTAGTAGTACTCACTCGGGAAATCTCCTTTGACTCTGGAAACATCATATGCCACCAGTCCAGCGATACTCAGAAGCAGGAAGAAACTGGCCCACAGCCATGGGAACTTTCTAGTACTTGTCATTCTGTCTAGAATATCCTGCACAAACAAAAAACACCTTCTATAACACAACACTGATACATAACAACCAACACTTGCATCTAAAGTGGTAGAGAGTTCCAATATTTGATAGTGAAAGCTCAAACTTTGTAAAGTGGGTTATCAAACCGATCTTACAAAAAATTCAGCTTTCTCTTTATATAAATAAAAAATAATAATTTAGTATGATTCTCTACATTCACTTACAAATCACACAAAAAACATTGACTTGTGTATGTCTTTATTTAATCTTAGGATAGATACAATTACTAATGTTCTTGTTCTTAAAACATAATTATTTATACATAGTAATGTTTTTCCTGTTTCTGTTGTATTATAATTATGATTTAAGTATTTATCCTTCAACTAATTATGATCTTCACCAATGTTTGTGTGTGTGTGTGTGTTATTCCTAGCAGTAACAATGTAGGTACAGCGTTGTTTAACAAATAAACTAATTATCTCAGACTTGATTAGCATGTCGCACCAATGATAATTTATTTGAAATATAAAAACAGTATATTGGTGATTGCTGCATAGCCCTCAATAGTTTTTAACAAAATTAATTGGTTCATTTTACCTGGCAAATGCATACACATAGTTAAAACTAGCAACGGCATACGCCCCCAGCGAGATAACGGACATTAACACAATATTTACCGATCACACGGATGGTTACTTTCTACGGACGAATACAAAAGTGGTTTTTCTAGTTTCATTTATAAATGACCACTTGTTCTAAATTACGTTTTTGTTGGAAACTTTATCGTCCAGTGTATAATTAAACTTCTTATTTATAAAAACACAACAATTAAGTACTCACACAAATATCATCAACCAAAGATTTCCTTTTAGAGCCACAAAAATTAAAAATAGACAACGCCAAGCAACAAATATGTCCGCCCAATTTTTCTTGACATTTGATTTGACATGTCATAAAGTGACAAAGGTCAAAGACATTTCAAAAGCAAAGGAACATAAAAAATATACAGCTTTATTGATTTAGGGTGGCAACAGACATGCCGGTTTGGGCCATTCCAATCCGGTAAGCAGTGTTGCTAGGTTTAATAATTTTATTTAACTATTTAAACGGCAGTTTACAATTGATTTCGGGAAAATTGTAAAACTGGCGGACAAATAAATTGATCATCCTACTATTAGCGCCTCGTCCGCGTGGATTTTTTTTCTAGTAAACTTTTATTTAGATTTAAACATCTAGCAGTTAAAAGCTTAAAAAAAAACTATAATTGCTATTTTTTTCTTTCAAATGTTTAATACTTGTAAAAATATTGATTTGACATTGTGGGTTACCTACAATGCAGAGATGGCGCTGCCTTGCAGCCTAAGGCTAGGAAAAATTCAACACGGCCGTCAGGGCCGCAGTAGCATAATGGTCAGTGCATTCGCCCGGATAGGATATATTTTTTTATTTTGTATTTTTGAAGTGTGTGCACTAGATCCCTTATTTTGTTTATCCTAAGTCTACTTCGTAAGTAATAAATAATATTTTTTTACGCATGCAGTGGCAGCCTTTAAGTAAGGCAGCACTAAGAATTGTTATCTTTATTTCTTTCTCAGTTTGTACTTTTATTTGGTGTTTGTTTTGTTGGCTGTCTTTAATAAATAAATAGCAAAGGGTGCGGGTACGAGTCCCGTCTGCTGCCTGGTCCGCGTGGAAATATTTCTACTAAACTTTTCTTAAGATTTAAACATGTAGCAGTTAAATGCTTAAAAAATAAAAACTTAACCATCCCACTATTATTATAAATGTGAAAGTTTTTAGGTTTTATAGCCTGGATTGAGACATAGGATACTTTTAATCCTGGAAAAATGTTACGTTCCTGTGGGTTTCTCAAGAAACTAAGGTTAATGCGATAGAAGTCACGGGAAGCCGTTTGTAGTACATAAATCATCAGCCCAGATATTTGAAGCATCTCTTAAACCATGGCAGCAGCTTTTTAAATGTTAACCGACGAAAGACAGAATACTAACCTGGCATATCTTGCTTGTCTTGACTACAGTTTCATCTTTCTTTTTGCCCTTCAAAGCTTCACCACTCACTTCCTTGAACTGCGTCACAGTTGTTTTCAATGATTTCAATTTTAATTTTGGACTTACATTGGCCCAGTTGTTATCTGAATACATAATAATTGCATTTTAATTAAGTATTAAGGCTTTTGTAAATTTTGATTTTGACAACCAAATCATTAGGTCAATTAGGAGATTTATAGAAGAAGCTATTCATTTTGATCACTTGAGGAAGTGATAAGACCAAACCTTCGTCATTAGTACTGTTTGGAATACATTTATTTAAAAGTGCTTTATTATAAAGGGTGTCCCAAAATTAACGCAAGATTTGAATTTGCCGCCATTTATGCTGTGCCGTTGCCAACCCTAAAAACAAAATAAATCGACAGTTGACAGTTTAGGGTTAGTAAAAATGGAGCGTTACGCAATAGAACAATGTGTCTTCATTATTGAGCAATATTTCAAAAATAATGAATGCTTGGCGGCCGTAGTTCGAAAATTTCATACAAGATATGATCGGAATAGTGTTTTTACTTCGTCAACTGTGAAGCGATTAATTGAAAAAATCCGAGAGACAGGATCCGTGGGAGACGCCAAACACACTGGTCGTCCAAAAACAAGCCGTTCAAATGTCAATATAGAGACAGTGCGTGCGAGTGTCGGTGACAATCCAGGAACCTCAATTCGGCGTCGTGGACAAGAATTGCAAATTTCAAGAAGCTCTCTACAGCGTATACTCACTAAAGATCTGTGTCTCCATGCTTACAAAATTCAATTAACACAACTACTGAAGCCCAATGACCATGCACAGTGAAGAGAGTTTGTTGAATGGATTATTGAGCAACAACAAATGAATGCTGATTTTTCGAGCAAACTCATCCTAAGCGACGAAGCACATTTTCACCTTGATGGCTTTGTTAATCGCCAAAATTGCCGCTTTTGGGGTTCTGAAAACCCACATGTGATTGTCGAAAAACAAATGCATCCACAACGTGTCACAGTTTGGTGTGCATTTTGGGGCTGGAGGCATAATTGGACCATACTTTTTTGAAAATGAGACTGGTCAAGCAGTGACTGTTACTTCTGCTCGATATCGCGACATGATAACACGGTTCTTTTTGCCGAAATTGGATGATATTGATGTGGCCAATATGTGGTTTCAACAAGACGGTGCCACATGCCATACAGCCCGTGAAACACTTCAATTATTGCATGAGACATTTCCAGGTCGTGTACTCTCTCGTTTCGGTGATCAGAATTGGCCCCCTAGATCGTGTGATTTAACACCATTAGATTTCTTTTTATGGGGATATCTAAAATCACAGGTCTACGTCAACAAGCCCACAACTACGCGTGCATTAAAGGAGGAGATTCAACGTTGCATCAACGAAATTCAGCCACATTTATGCAGAACGGTCATGGAAAATTTCGACAAACGAGTGCTTATGTGTATGCAAAGCCGCGGAGGCCATTTGCCCGATGTGTTATTCCATAAATAACCCTATCCTATGTACTTTATGAATCAATAAAAAAATTACAATCAAAAGACTAAAAACTGTGTTTTCTATTTAATTCAAATCTTGCGTTAATTTTGGGACACCCTATATAATGTATAGTTTGCTGCAAACTGCTTGAGCAAAACCACAGACAAATTAACATGTGTAGTAGATGACTTTGTATGTAAAATTGTTACCGCTATTATTGTAGCGGGATGAGGACGTTCTAGCCGCTCCCCTCCGACGTAGACGGGTGGGCCAATAAGGCAGGCAGCCGTGACTTCCGGTCTTCATCCTCCCTAAGGTGGTCTGGGCGCGGCTTGGCCGCCGCGTGCCCTTAGCGCCGTTCGGCATAGGCCACCCCGTCTGGGGATTGCCTAGTACCCTAGCGCAATCCCCCAGAGACGTGTCGCCCGGTCCACTCGTTGGACCGGGCCGGCCCGGGAGCGTTACAGTGAAGTGGCGCACACAGGTGCGCCGATCCTGAAACGCTCCCACATGGGCGTAGGAGGGTACCGGTGGGTTTTAGTGGGTAGGACCGGCGTTGTTCCGCGCTGGGGAGTCCCACACACGCCGCGCGCCCAGCCAGCGCGCGGTACGGTGCGTAAATGCATTTCCCATCGACAAAAAAAATGAGGCTTCCTTGTCTATGATCGTTTGTTCAAGAAGTTTGCCGGGATGTTAACTATTAATAAGGGTAGAAGCGCACACTGTTAAATAATTTCTAATAAAAGTTGTGCTAATTGAACTATTCTTTCAACTAGACAGAAAATGATGTAACAGGGGAAAAGTTGCAATAAACTTATGTAAGTACCAATATATTCAAGCAATGTTGCAGACTGCTTGCTACATTTGTGGAACAGTTGTCTCCAAGTGGCATTGCACGAGTCGTCTTTATGCAGGCAATCAACGAGACAGTCCACCAGCACTCGGTTGTATGGGTCCAAACCACCACCGCTAAGATATTGGTTGGGCAATTTCTTCATTATCTGATTGAACAGCACTTGCAACTTATTGCCACTTTGGGCAAAAAATATATCCTGAAAAAGACTTTGAATCAGTGCACCGGGCAAATGAGCAATTCACATAAATAATTCTATAGATTTGTAAATCTAGCAGTCCAATACTATAAGCAAGCTTAACAATACATAAGGCATAATGAGAAAATCAATGGGGAAGATAACGCAAAGTTCATTACAGATGGCGTTGCATTCTTATGCCCTTGCATTTTGATGACAAAGATAATATCAGATGCGTTATCTGTTTTTACTACATTATAAGAACGGCTAAGAAGTAACACACTGCACACTGCCATCATAACAACGCGAGGCTGTAAACTGTTAATTTAAGGTCCTAAGTAGAAACTCACCTTATATTTACTTAATTGCATGATAAGGTCACTTGAGAGATCTTTCGATAAACTATTCCTTTTGTTGTTTACCATATCGAACATGGCAAACAGTTGATCTTGACTAATCTTTACATTATCCATGCTCTTGTGGTTATCCAAGAGCTTGCTTATGTACAATATCACGTATTTAGAATAATTCTTCAGTTCTACTATTGGTAAAAATAGTTCTTGCCAAGCTGTAAGATAATGAAGTGATGAAAGATTATTATAGAGGTTTTGGTAGGAAATGTGAGCACTGAAATATCCATTTATTAAGACTACTAATACACTGAAGGTAGCCTAGATGTTAAACAAGAATAATGTAGTTTTAGTGGCACATATGGAATTCATGGTTTATTTACCTCTACTTCAAACCACATAATATTGCAAATGAAATTTCTTATATGACTGAAAAACTAAAAACAAAATAGAGTGACATGAAGATATTTTCTAAGGTTATCAATCCACTTTAGAAGCAACAGTTGAAAGATAACTAACATTGATAACTTTTTAGATAAGGTAATGACACCAGTGGAAATGCACTGTTACTATGATATAAGCCAAAAATTTACATCTATATTTCAAATTGTTTACCAATAACACTTTAAACTCTTTGATTAATCATCTTTTAGTGCTACAACATCACTCTAATAAATAATATGAAATTGTGTCCACATTTATGAGGAGTAAAAAAAGACCAATAGCCAAAAAAATAAATAATCAGGCCACCAGTACAGCAATCTTATTGTTTTCTGGATGATGCAAACTTTTTTGTCTTAGCTATGGTTTTACCAGGCATCAATGCAAATGTTTTCATAATTTTAAGTTATTAATATTCTGGTAACTTAAATAATATAAATATTTCTCTTATATTACCTTTCAAACCTACAGAAAAGTCAGTTAATCCACCTTGCCCAAATGCCCACAGCAGACTTAAACCTATAGGTGGACGATTCTGATAAGAGTTTCTTAGACTTGCACTCTTTGCTACTGATGCTATGCAGAATTCGGGATTCTCTTTAGCCAGCATTTGGAGCAGAATCCTGTGTCCATTGACTTGTTGACCTGCAAACATCCAAAAGCATGTTCTGTAATAACTAACTAAATCAATTTTACAATTACTGAATTTTAGATAGTACAATATCAAAGCAAGAGGGCAATTGCCTTTTACTCCAACCTTGAAAAACTGGTATTATATATTCAAAATATATTTCAAACTTTAAAACCAAATTTTAGGTTAACAAAAATATATGAAAGGAATTGTTTGAAAAATAAATATTAAATTTTTTTAATAGTTTATTTGAGATTAGTTATTTGAAAGTAATACCTACCTCTACTCATATCATTGGCTAAAGCAGTGAGAGTGACATCAAAAAATAATTGCGTGTTAGCCTTGCCAGCATCTCTTAAAACATTTTCAAGACAGTTCCTTAGTCCATCAGGGACAACACAGAGTGGATAAACAGAGGGGTTTGTAGCAAAAGTGGGGTCCTCAACTTCAATTTGAATCTTTGAATTTAAAAAGTTTGCAACTTCCTTCAGCCATACTAGAGGAGCATTGGAAAATCTTACTTTATTAGTTCCAATTATTGTTGTCAGTTCTTCCAGCTCAATCTGAAATTTACAAAGTATTAATGAATGTCATTGCTTTATCTATACACTATCAACCTGCCCCCCCCCCCCCCCCTCACCCTCCTAGCATGTTTAAGTAAAAATTAATAATTTACCTAGTGTGAACACTTTCCCAGCGTATAAAAATGCACAGAATGTAATGACAAACTTACATCATTAAGATCTCAAGTTTCATTAAAATCATCATGGCATTAAAGGATGTGTGATGCACACTTGTGTCTTACACAATAATACAGAACTCCTAATCAATAAGCACATATTATACCTAACAGTTAGATATTATTATTCTGATAAAATTTATGATTTCTAATGATGAATACTTACAGCTTGTAAAGCTCCTTCTATTGTTTTTGGAGGCTTAGGTTTAGAAGGCTCTGTCTTCTTATCTTGTTGCTTCTTTGGCTTCTTCTCTCCTTCCTTCTTTTTGTCTTTGGTAGGTTTCTTGTCATCATCAATTTCCATACCCTCATAAAATGACTTTATTTGAGAGTGGGGTACTATAACATAAAGTTTAAACCATTTAATATGTACGAGCCATATGTTTAATGGAATATTTAATTAAAATTAATAGTATAAGAAACAATATGCTATGCATAAACATTTAAGAACCTGGTAATTACTACAACTCTTGAAATAGGCCAATACATGACTGAAAATAGGTTGCTTTATTCAAATAACTTTTGCTATATTTTTAACTGAAAAGTTTGTTTTGGACGAAGGCTTCTCAATAATAAACGAAACTGTACTAGATGGAAACGAAGTAACCGAAGTATTTTTGTTCAAATAATAACATAAGGTAAAACTTACCGACATCTTCAAGTTTCGGGCCGTTTTTCACAGCCTTTTTCGAATCTTCCTTAGACTTTATCTTACCATTTTGAGACTTCTTGCTCTTACCGACAACTTCCCATTGACCGGCAGACATATCGAATTAATTTATACAAATAAAATCAATCTTAGTAAATAAAGGGAAAGCGATAGGTTACACGTCAAAATCAAATTGTACAAAAAAACATCAAGAAAAAAAAGGTTCGTTCGTCATTGGCCAAATAAATTCCACTTGGACAAAACGTGGCAAGTATTATCGCTGCGTTTCGTTCGATAGATATTTTGGTACAATATTTTATTTTGAAGACGTTTAAAATATTTTAAGATGTTATTTTTAAGAAATTAATGAGCTAATAATTTCTAAAAATATCTTTGTTTGCTTCAAAATATAGTGTAAAATGGTGAGTATGTAAATTACAAAAGGTCGTACAAGGGCCGAGTTTTAGGGTGCGGCCAGAGTGCACTCAGATTCAGATTCAGATTCTGAAAACAAGCGCGAGAAATAAGCAGTGTAGTCTAAGCAGGTTGCCTGCTTTTTCTCGCGCTTTGTTTTCTGAGTCTGAATCTGAATCTGAATCAGGAGTGCAATCTGGCCGTACCCTTCGACTACACTGTTTATTTCTCGCGCTTCTTTTCGAAATCTGAATCTAAATCAGAAATAAACAGTGTAGTTAAAGCAGGGTGGCCATAGTGGCAGCAGGCAACCTGCTTAGACTACACTGTTTATTTCTCGCGCTTGTTTTCGGAATCTGAATCTGAATCTGAGTGCACTCTGGCCGTACCCTAAGACTGTCCACTTTTCCTATTCGCTAACTGCTTTTGACAGATGGAAGTGATAATCACCGAGCTATTTTATGATCCGCTACTGCTTCGTTAGAACGCCACTCAGATACTTGTTCTGAAAAGTATCGAAGAATATGCAATTTTCCTAGTTATACAGGGTGGTTCAACTAGTGACATCAACAATTTTTTTTTAGATTCCTCGCACCTGGGGGTATCCGCAAATACCCCGTGTATGTTCCGCGATTTTTCTTAGTTTTCGAGTTATAAATTTTTTGTGTATTTTTAATGATTTCTGCCAGCGAGGTTTCCAAAATTCTTATCTTTTTCGTAGTAGGTATTTTGCAGTCTTTTTTTTTATGACATAATTGTCTTGAATGTTGTTTTAATAAAAAAATAACTCAATTTCCTGCAATTACTTAAAGTTACTCAAAAACGGCTTGAAAGTTGGATCTTTAGTTTTTAGTAGGATTTACTCAAACGTTCAACTTCAATACAAAAATACAAAAAGGAGTTTCCATAAATTCCGGTTAAAATTAAAAACTCTGCATGCTTCTATACTACCAAAAATCATAAAAAAAATGTACTTAATCAGCCTACAGCCTTGTAGAGGTGAGAACATTTCTACTCCTTACAAAAGTTTAGCGAGAAAACTGGTTTGATATATTCATGTAAAATACTCTAAGGAAAATAATACATTAAACCCAAACCCATGTGGTGTTCCATCTATTTCTAAGCGCATTCCAATGTAGGTAAAATGAGGCTTTATGAACTTAGTATCCTTAATTTTCCATATGGACGTAAAATAATAAAAAACTTACTGTCACTAACTGTCACTTGTCACTTCCAGCAGGTGAGTGAAGTGAGACCTCGGTTCTCAGAGTGAGATAGGCACTTTAATTGTTGCTTGTGTTTTTTGAGATATTCGCAGGTGATTCGCAGTTATTTCTCTACTCGTGAATAAGTTTAACTCCTACCCATGTTAAAATAATTTCAATAAAATATACTGACTAGGGATTGCAGTCAATCAGTGTTAACTAAATCTTTATTTGTGTACAATGGAGCATAAATTAGTAGATGATATTTCGAGCACCTTGAGGGAAAGAGTATTTTTCGCAGCAAGAGATGGAATGTCTTTGACTCTTTACGCCTTGTTATATGAGAAGACAACAGATGATATCGACGAACTACTCAACGGCGTAAGTCTACACTGAAAATTGAAAATATTTCAATATTTCATGTTGCTTTGTTTAGTCGCCCCCATCTATTTATAACATTGAAATTGCTGTGTTACCTTTTGCGCGCTTTACTTTATTTCCATGCGTGTGTTTGGAATCGGATTTTTTTGTCCCAAGGTTTTATTTAATTTTTATTGTAATTGAAACATACTTTGAAAGATGACATTGTTTTTACTGATTGATTACACAATATGACTTTGAGTAATACAATAGCTCACTTAGAATATACTATAGGTATTTCAAGTTTTCTCTCTCTTGATAAATTCTTGGCACACTAAACTATAATAAACATAATCATATTAAATTCTGTGAAAATGAGTTAAAATTAATAAGCTGCATTACAGCCACAGTTTAAAATGTTATTGTTGTATAAATAAATAAAAGTGTAATAAACTATTACTTTTCATTTATTTGCTCTTGTTTCATAAAGTGCATAATTCTTTAATACCCAAATGTAAATAAGTAATATTATTTTTTTAACTATGTATTTATTTTATTAGTAAGTGATAAACACTGAATAGAAAAGAAATTGTGGTATGGGGGTGTACTCTTTTGAGTGCTTAAAATCTCCGGTTATAACTTGAATTTTATAAGACACACATTCTTTCATTTTAGATTTAACATTTGTCTAAGTAAATATACTAATTTGGTAAACAAAATAGTAAATTGAGCATTTTTAAAGTGGAAAGCACCCAGCATGCATTTATTATGCAAACAAAAATTTATACTTTAGCATTGTTAAACAGAACAAATTTTTGTTAGCGTCCAATATGCCTGCAAGTCGCTTTCAGCTTAACACTGCCCAATTATAAAATCATTTTTTTTTTGGATTTCTACACCTTTTGTATATTGCAGGATGTATGTTGTGATGGAGTGAAATGTACACCCCTGATCGCTGCGGCCCGTCATGGTCGAGAAGGAGCCGTAAGAATCTTATTGGATAAATTCAGACCTCCAGTAAGATTGGAAACTGAAGGCACAGTCAAGTTTGATGAATATGTCATTGAAGGTAAGTGAAAAACCACCTTGGTAATTTTATACAATAGCTCACATATTCATTAACAATACTTCAAGTTTTTTCTTTGGAAAAATATTTGGCACACTAAACTTTACTTAAAATAATAATACTAAAATCTATACAAATGAATTAACTTTTACTTTTAGTTAACAAAATAAATAAGCTGTTCCAGCCACATTTGGGCATTATATAGTCTAGTTGATATTATTATCAATAAAAAAATTTGGTTTGGCTTGGAAAAGGTTATATTTGACTAAATATTGACATTTCAAATCCATATTTATTGACAAAAATGCCTACTATCCTTACCTATACCTTACTAAGCTTCTTAGTATTCATGCATTATAACCCATGTAAGCAAAATGGCCATCAAAACCCTCTGTTATATTTTGAGTTCTACTGAACCTATTGTCTTTATTTATGTCTTAAATTGAGAATATTTTCTGCATCTTTTTTTATTTATCTATACCATATCTAAATATTGTATTATAATATTGTGTGGCAGAAATCTGCCACATCCACAGGCAGGGCTTTTTTGACGTTGGCAGAAATCTGCCATTTCAAAAATCTAAGAAAGAATTTTGGCTAGTTATTGGGTAAAGTGTTCATTTTGGGTACTCTTCGTTAACTTTACAAAGCCACTGTCTATACATCTAAATTGTATAACAATTTGAGACAAAAAAATACTAATGAGTTTAAAATGTCTTAATTTACATTAATTTTCTCTTAGTCACTTTAGTTTTATGTGGTAGACCTCCTGGTAATATTTCATACTCAATATTTATGTATATCAGCATTAGCTTTTTATTGCCTCGGTGACCATCGTCTTTATTGTAGAGTAGCGATGCAGCCTGTTTTTGCAGAGGGGAAATTGATTTTAACTTGATAAAATACAGCCTATGTCATTCAAGAATAGTGTAACTCTACTGGTAAAAGAATTTTCAAAATCGGTCACTTTTGAATGTATTGGTTACAAACATGCAAAAATACAAATATTTTATAATATTAGTATCTATATCAATGTTATAAAAGAGGAAAGAGAATGGAATAATGTGCTATAAAAATAAAATAATTATTTATAGTTTTAGAAGGCACAAATGAAACTGTGTTTTAGTATTATAAATAAGATATTTTTTTGCTTACACTTGCAACTTGATTTAAGCTTTGCAAACAAAATTTTACAGAAAAAACATATCTGGATTATCCTTGTTCTTTCTTGTTGTTGAATGATAATATTGTAACATCTTAGTTCTGTTGTATTAGCATACAGATAGAAGCAGGTTTTTGAAATATTAAGTCATTTACCTATAGGTATCATATATATAAAAAATCATTTATGTACTTCATAGTATTTACAACTAGTATTTCTAGTAGTCTTTTTTTTCATTTCCATCTAATTCACCAGAAAGTTTGATTGAATGAATAGTTTGATTCCCCTGGCAAGTACTATGGTTCTACATAGTACTTGCCAGGGGAATCAAACTATCTCAAACTCAATTGGATTCATTCCCATGACCACCATCCAACTCCATGAGCAGAAAGGATATGATGTAGAAGCTGAGGAGCAGACGATGATCTGCTCAGTAATCTTCAAAATGATTTCTACCGGGGATGGTCAATTGGGGATGTGTGACGGACTGCAAGGGCGAGGCCATTGAGAAACACGGCGAAGCACTTGCTGTTTCGCTCGATATAAAAAAAGCCTTCGATATTGTTTGGCATGCAAGTTCTCTAAGTAAACCTCCATAGCGTACGGCATCCCTGCTGGCTTTTGTAATTGGGTAGCTGATTTCCTGAGCAAACAGTTTTTCAGAGTAGTTGTTGACGGCTTTTGCTCTGACTGTTACGTGTGGTTTACCCATAGCTTCTCGAGTCGAAGGACTGACAGTAAGCCTTAAAAAGTGTAGTTTTCACTTATCTCTAGCAGCGTGCTAACCTGCGCGCCATCATGTTTGACTGCCAAGGCCCTACGCTCCCTCTCGATTTAAGAGTCGCTGAGGTCCAGCGTCACAATATGTCTCAAGTACTTAAAGCTCGTTACCCTTTTTAGAGTTGCGCAATTTAGCCTAACAGGCGGAACATGTACCGGTGCATTTCTACTACCTCTTAATATCAGGAATTGTTGGGTATGCAGATGACAGTACTGTCGCAAAGAGATACATCAGCTGAGAAGAAGTGCAACTGATGAGAGAGGCCATGGTTCAACCTGACGTTGGATTACGTCTCCCAGTGGGGTGAATATAATCTCGTCAGCTTTAATACCTCCAATGCGCAAGCATGTCAGTTTACCGCAAAAAGGACTCTTTTCACCATGATTCCTACTTTCTGGTGTACGTCTGTCTCTGTGAACGATAGTCTCGCGCAACCAGAGAATCCACGGCGCGAATTTCAGCTAGAAAGCTGGGCATCCTAAAAAGATTGAAGCGATACTTCACGTCTGACATTAACGCATTACAAAGCTCAGGTCCGGTTATGCATGGAGTATGCTATTGTATTGCTGCACTGGATTCGATGGAACGCAAGCTAGAAGAATTATAGGGAACAATATATCGGTTGAAGCTAAGACTTACCCCTTGTGTCACCGTCAAGATTGCCTGCCCCTGTGTTTTTTACAGGCTGTACTTCAGGGGGTGTGCCGGGAGTTACATGAACTTATTCCGCCTTCCCTTTCACCATCGGACTTACGGCAGGTTACTATCCTTCTTGGTTGCTGTTCCCAGTGGCGGATTTACCAGTAGGCTCAGTAGGCTGGAGCCTAGGGCGGCAGATTTTAGGGGGCGGCAAATTTGGCCCAAAATGTACACAGAAAAACGAGTGACAAAAATTTTAATATTTTAGTAATGTACAGTGTGCTCTCTTACGTCCGTAATCCGTATATAAAAGATTACTAAGCGCACTGTAAAATATAGGTACTTATGCGATCATGAATTTTTAAAATATTCCAATAGCGTTTCAATATTAATTACAATTTAATTTTAGTATTTTTTTAAACTAACGGGGAAAAGCCGACGTAATATGGATGATAGAACACAAATCATAAAGTTGCAATTTCAGAATAAATATAATTGTGAACTAGCGTATTGAATTTCAAAGGTCAGGGGCGGCAAAAATTTAATAGCCTATTAGCGGCAAAATTGTAAATCCGCCACTGGCTGTTCCGCCCCTTTACACCAGACGCTCTCATATACTTTTATAATAATACATGCGCAGGAGTGGTCCTATAAGGGTTCCGTTTTTTCCTTTTGAGGTACGGAACCCTAAAAATCAAGGCCAGCCCAAACTAGAGCGATATGTCACGTTACTAATTTGATAATAAACTTGATGTAACCTTAATATCCGTCTCACTCAACTCACGCTCCGCATCATCAATTTATTGTCGTGGGGACGCCTCTGCTGCGCGTCCTAAAAAAATATACACTAATTCAATTTGACTGTATTGTACTAATTATTTTCTTTTAGATTTATTTTTACAATCTATAGAGCAAAGATAACATTTATGTCTACATACCTACAGATAGGTATACAACCCCACTAAATCAAATTACACCATTATTCATCAGATTTGCTGGTTTTAGAGTAAATTCATATATGAGTGACTCGTATATCGAAAACGTGGTTTGGTGTGATGCTGCGAATAAAGCGTAGGCGCAAATTGCGGACTCACGTTTATATTCGTGTACAATGTCAAGTGCACTGAGCCCATCGTTACATTCGTAAAAGGGGCAAGGTTAAACAAAAAAAAAAGTTTAAACATCACAGATAACAAAGAAAGCTCTTAAAGTTACAATAGTGGCACGCGAGACAAACGCATATATTTTCATTCCTGAATGAATTTTTGGGTTTAACGAAACTTTTACTTGACGTCCCACCGTCGCGTCGCCTTCCCGTATCTCATGAATCGTAATTAGAAGACAGTTGAATTTTTCACAGAATTGTGGAATGGATGGTATACACCCTTGAACTCTTCTCGGCAATTAGTATAATTCCTCACTTTTACATTTTATAAGGCTTATTCTTATTTTGTAGCCTGTATAGACTGAAAAGACGGTATTTGGTTTTTACGCATTTATATAAAAAAGAAAACATGTGACTATTTGATTGAGTCATCTCACCAATGTGGTTAAACAAACAAAGCTCTCTTTAATCATCTCTTTTTAATACTATTTCGTAATTCCCTTGCTTTGTTCTTAAATTTTAATTGGCGTTTAGATTCTTCTATACCTACTTCAACTTAGCAATAATCTAAGCAGCCTCTCTTTGTTCTCTCATCTTTGGCGGCCTATTTATCTGTTCCCGCCTTCCTATCTCCTTTATACTGCGTCTTTTAATTACATGTGATTTGTATACCACGTGCTTCTGTTATATCAACTGTGTTGTTTTTCGCTTTTAGAAATATTTTTTATAAAATAAGTATCGTTTCATCTATACGTACTGCAATCTTATTCCGGAATTCCTATCTTCCTAGTGCTATGTGCTCATTGGCGTTCATTCCCTTCTTTGTCACCTGCCTCAGTTCCTATAACTGTGTCATATCTCTCTGTTTTTAGACATTGTTTTTAATTAAATAAGGAACCATATCATCTATTCTGTAAACATCTGTAGGGTTTTGGATGACGGAGAAGGAGCGTTGACTTACTTTTTTCGTGTCGTCGATCCCATGCTCTATCTATTTTTAGCACGAAATAATTGTGAAAGCTCTTTTACGTACAAAGGAACTAAAAATTGAGCCGAGTACGTTTCGATGGAGATGTTGGCGAGTCTCCAGCGTTGTTTGTTTTGTGTGCCTTATGATTTACACCGATTAATAAGCCTGTGTTATAAATTCGTTTGGCGTTGTTCTAGCAAAGCAGTAGCGTTTGTCATTTGAAATGTTCATTGTTTCTGTATGAAATACATTCATAGTTGGCGTCTTATATTTTATACACACAATGTTCATTAATGATTCTTAGAATGCCTGCATCATAATTGGTGATTCATATTTAGCATTTCTACATAATGTTACTGTGATCAAGTTCTTGATACAGAAATTCAAGCCACGCGATGAAGATATTTGACAAGGTGCAATCAATTGTATCTTGTCAAATTACGGAGTCAAGTCCTCACGGACTTGTATGTGTAATGGGCTTCTTACAAATTCGCGTTTCCAATTCTTGCGAACGTTCATCTTACCTACTACCTCTCGTCTGTGGGCCTGTCACGTGAACCAATATCTCTTGTCTGTTGTGATGGCTGAATTCAGTCACCTCACAGACAAAGAAATTGTTTTGTATACAGTTCTAATAAATAGCACTACTATCACAAAGTACCTATTCAATCGCCGCGCCCAATCCACTACTAGTTTATTGAATCCTATGAATTTAGACAGTCAAGAGACGTCAGAAAAGTTTGAGAATCCCACGGGAAACATGTCATAGAAGACTAGTGAGACATGATTTCCAGTTGTGTTAAATGGGAATCAAATTCCTCTATTCCACTGCATGACTGTAGTCATAATTTGTAACATTGTTATGTACTATTGTTCTTCAGCCCTAAAAGCATACATGACCATGACCGGTGAAACAAAATACGATATGATGTAGCCGTTTATCAAGGAGTTGTTATCTGAATATCGATATCTACAATGTCGCCTCAATAATTAAGACAAATTACCAACACACGTAGTAAATAGATAAAGAGTTCTAAGTACATGTATGGGGATCTTGGGTTATCTCGGGAGAACGCAGTAGATTTTTTGCGTACGAGTGCCTTATTTAGTCTTAAAAATCTATGGATTTTGTAATCTTTTAGACAGAATACTCGGGTCTGCCATCTCTGAGAACAGAAAAGAATAAAGTTTTGATTCGGCGCAAGCAAATAATTACGTCCTCTTCTGTCGCATATTTTGCTACTCTTCAGGGTCTTCAGCTTGTGATGGTCCGTACTGCCCATCTTCATTGCCTATAGTTATGTTCAAGATGTTTGCCGGGGTGTATGCCTATAAGTTGGAAGGAAACCTCAGTATCACTAGCGCTACTCCCATTTTCCGGGCTTTTTTTTCATATTATTTTTATTCAGTTATTTTACCATTTGGCCCTTAACTAAGTTATTCTTATTCAAATTTCAACATGTTTAATAATATATTTTCCGTGCTCGAGGCTGCTATTTGATACAGCCAGGGGCGCGGGCAGAAGTCGGAAAGAGAAAGCATAGAAGGATAGTAAAGATAAAAGAAGTTAAAGAAAATATAACTAGAAAAAAAACCACGCGGTCCAGGCAGCAGACGGGACGGGCATGGTCCGCGTGGAATTTTTTCTAGTTATATTTTCTTTAGATTTAAATATCAATCAATCAGTTACATGCTTTAAAATAATAAAAATTATAATAAAAGAAGGTATACAAGAAATATGGTGAAAGATGAATAAAAGGTGAAAAACAAAATAGATAAAAGTTAATTCGCATTAGTCCCGTAAATAGTACTAATTTGCTTCGAGTTGGCCGTCGATGGCCAAACACAGGCATTTCCGGGTATTATTTTCTCCGAGTTTTTGAGAGTGAATAATTTAACTGTCCAGGTGCCACAGCATTATGGTGCGCAGCCGGCGCTGGACACTTGGGCATAGTAAAGAGATTGGTCCGCGCCGGAGCCAACGTAAACCACGCCACGAGGACCCTGAGCACCCCCCTCCGAGCAGCCTGCTTCGACGGCCGCCTGGACGTCGTCAAGTTCTTAGTCAGGCATGGCGCCGATATTCACAAGGCGAATAAATACAACAACACATGCCTCATGATAGCCTCGTACAAAGGACACTTGGATGTGGTAAGATATTCGTAGTGGATTTTTCATCTTCAGTTTGATTAGTCTTCAACATCGGTCTATTAATGTCCCCACTGTTGGTGCACTGGCCTTTCATACGGATGGTATAGGGAGGTTGGACATTGACCCACTATACGGGCTCGTTCGGATCGGCTGTAGATGCAGCCGGAACAAACTTAACGCGCCTTATATAATATGATGATATATAATATGATCGGCCGTTGTGAAAGATGATAATTTGTCATAATAATTTGAAATTTTGTATGTAACGTTTATCAGAAGAAAATTTTACTAAAAAAAAATGCGGTCCCGCCCTGATGATATTCGAACCCCCACTCTTTGCTATCTGGGCGGATGCACTAATCAATTATGCTACCGCGACCTTAATGACAGCGTCAAACTTCATGTAGTAAGAAAGAAAGAAAAGCTTTTTAGGCTGCAAGGCAGCGCCACAAATGTCAGTCAGTGCACCCGACCGGATAGCGGAGGGTGAGGGTTCAAATCCCGTCTGCTGCCTGGACCGCGTGTAATTTTACCTACTAAAATTTTCTTTGTATTTTTTTTATGTTATAGGGGGCATACGAGCAGACGGCTCACCTGATGGTTAGTGATCACCGTCGCCCATGGACACTTGCAACACCAGGAGTATCACAAATGCGATGCCGGCCTTTAAGGAAGGAGTGCGCTCTTTTCTCTCTTGGATTTAAACATTTTGCAGTTAAATGCTTAAAATAAAAATATAATATCCTTTATCAGGTCCAGTTTTTACTGGAGAGTGGCGCACGCGTCGACGAGCGTGCACTCTGTGGGGCCACAGCATTGCATTTCGCAGCAGAATGTGGTCACGCGGCTGTGGTCTGCGCATTACTGGAGAGAAACGCGCACATACTGACCAACGAGAATGGTGATGTATATAAATAATAAATTAAAAAATACTTCCAACATTCACACCAATTAGCCTTGCCCCAAAGTAGGCACTATAAGGCTTGTGTTATGGGATACTAGGGTAACGGATATAATACATATACTGTACATATATAAGTATATTTATATAGAAATACATATGAAACGTCTATGACTGGAGGACAAATGCTCGTATTCATCACACAAACATCTGCCCCCACCGGGTTTCGAAATACCATGAAACCCGGTGTAAAACCACTCGGCCACGGAGGTGGTCATATATATATATTACGGAGGGCGTTATATATACAATACAAAACGTACGAAAAGTATAACGCACTGCTACTTATATATGTTTTAGTATAATGTATTCTATCCGTTACCTTAGTATCCCATGACACAAGCCTGCAGTCCTTACTTTAAGGCTAGGCTAATTGGCGTGAGTGTTGGAAATATTCATTTATTTTATTTTACTTTTTTAGTCCTGTATCCACATATGTGGATTTTGTTTAAACCAAAAATACATCTAAATAAAGCTAACTAGGTACTTATGCCGTTGAGGTATAGCTTTGTGGGAGTAAGTTATATTTGTTTTGGGTCATGTATACCGGCTGTAGCTTACACGTTATGCCACACCATAAGTAATATGAATGTCTTATTCATTGAATTTATTAACGATCACATTTAACTTGAATAGGGTATTTGACAAGTTTAAGAAAACGAACTCACGTTATTGATTAATGTTTACGGAGTCCGCAAAAAGTGGATATTCATCATTATTTTACGTATTTCAGTAAAAATAACCAAATCAAAAACTCCAATTTCAAGTTGCCGCGAAAACGTTTCTCTGGACAATATGGCGTCTTACTAGTGTGTGACGTCACACGACTGTCATTAAAACGTCAAACAATACAAGGTAATGTCACTTTAACTGGAAGTTTACTTGTGTGTGACGTCATTTTAGGCTCCGCCAATCCCAAGCTTTTTGGGTCACGTGACAATAGATAAGAAAACTATTATCTTTTTCGTGGGTTTTTAATAAAATTATGATTATTTTTATTGTGAAAATATTATAAACCTCTGCCAGTATTCATTCTAAATACAGATGCTAACAATTGGCGCTTTATTTTTAATACTGTCAAATACCCAATTCACACAGACAATTTTAAGTTCACCACCATTAACTTTTTCTATTTTATCTATAAGACGCGAAATGATAATGACTGGCTAATAATACATTTAATCAGTCACTCAAAGTATGTGTAATACCTATTAGCTCCGTCACGAGTAGTTGTAAATTATGTAAACAAAAATAATTATGAACATGTTATGAACGTACATTCTTAGAGATAGGGACGACAAAATAACTTAAAGTCATTTGAAGTCACGTGTTGTCACACTCTTTTTAGTATAGCAAACAATGTGACAACAATAACTTTAATCAAACTTAGAAGTTGGTTGACATCTCTAAGTACAGGCATTAGTTGTTGGTTAGTTAGATGGATTATTCAATAAAAATCGGAAAGAATCTTGCTTCAGAATCCAAAACTCAAACTCAGGCTTAATCACACTCATATTATAAAGGCGAAAGTTTGTGAGTGTGTATGTTTGTTACTTCTTCACGTCTAAACCGCTGGAGCGACTTTAATAAAATTTGGTATGGAGTTAGCTGAAACCCCGATTACACATACGCTATGTTTTACTGCGGGAAAATATCCCTAATAAAACGCGGGTAACATCGCGGGGCATAGCTAGTTGAATAAAAGCGCGATCTTTTGAATATCGAACCAAATTAAATTAAACCAAAGTCGACGTAGCCTGTAAAGGCTACGAAACGTCAATAAATAAATAAAGTTTCGTGCATTAACCTGTAAAAAACTAGTTTTATTTAATGAGTGATGTGCGTGAAAACCTAAGAAATCAGATAAGATGTACAGTAAGGCCTGAAAGGTCTTGGAATCTTATTCTGAAAGGCATAGAATGAGTTTGAATTAAAATCATGAAGTTGACTCATATAGTTATCTTATTTTTACATATGGACCAAAAATGGGACCAATATATGTTGCTATGAACCATACTATATGAACAGCATGCTTACCGTTACGTCAAATTAGATACCTTTGTATGGCTCGTGGATACCTTCATTACCTTTACGATACCGAATCGAAAAGCGATCTAATGTCAAATGCAACCTTCCATTTTGGTTGGGTAATATTCTATTTTGAAATATTTTTGTTTATCTATGGTCTATGGAAGTGTACGCTCAAACGCAATAGCATTACCTTTACGCTTAAGTTCTTGTTGTAAGGGTGAGAATATTTTTAATTATAGTTTCTGATAATGTAAAAATTAAATACCAAATCAAGCTTGGACTATTTTAAGCAAGGTTAATAAATTATGTGTGACGGTCATTATGATGATAAGTAGGTAAACCAACAAAACAGAATCATGATTGATTGTGAAATTCATTACATTACATGCGTATTAGTAGTTAAAAGTAGATATAAATAAAAAAAATGGGCTATGACATATTTGATGCATCATTGACAAGGATTATATGTTTTACCTTGTGCTAATTGTAAGTTTTTTGCACTTGCGACTTTTAATCGCCATATTATGAACATGGACTGAACTAACTCTCTATTTATAAATAAGACATTGCTAAGTAACCCAAAGTTCCTCCTTGGGGGAGGCCTATGTCCAGCAGTGGGCGTCATACGGCTGATATGATGATGATGATGATGATGAAGTAACCCAGTCATTATTTGACACTAGAATTCTTCAATAAAACCAAAAACTTAGAAAATCTGACTATTACTTTGTTATACCTCGCGCCAATAAAAAACGAATCGCAAATGACGACGTAAGACATGTCCCTCTCGCACATGCTGCCTTAAATAATGTTTGAGAGAGTCAGAATGCCCTGTGTATTCATTTACGATTCATTTCTTTGATAGCCTGCGCAGACGAAGGGCTTTTGTCCGTGGTTTGTTTTGCCCGGCAAAATAGATTGCTTACAACTGCATCGAGTAACGCACACGACGGAAAAGTACCGCAAACAAAGAATCCCCCGAATAAGCCATAATGGCACGAGTTATAAGAATACTCATTTTTGACAGTTCTTACTTGATCAATAGCTTAAGTATGAAATTTAAAATGTTTCTCAAGTCATTACTTAAGCAGAAGTTATGCCTTTTTCTCGTTTATAAATACAAGGGTTAGACTTAGTTTGCACGTAAGAAGCTAGCATCGCGACTTCGTTTGCGTGGAGTGTCGCTTCCAAAAGTAGCCCATAAATTTTCTCCAAGTTTCCTTTAACAAAAATATCATCAAAATTGGTTCATCGACTTATACACATAACTTACGCGATAATTAGATCACCAACACACATCAGTATTTCACTACTCTACTTAGTTAATTTGTCACCTTTGCATTGTTACGGCTAAATTAACTTTTATGTTAGTCTAAAATTTATGCTATCACTAAACACGTGACTTAATGAAGTTTTAAATTGTCTAAAAATCAAAATTCTGATTTTCAAATGTCTTTCCCTTATGTGCAATGGCTAATCCCTTGACATTGCCAAATAGCAAGCCACCATAAAAAGCAGAAGTTTTAAATTAAAACCGTAAAAAACATGATCATACTCATGTTTATACGTTTGCACGCAGGCATGACACCACTACAATGCGCTGCGGAACGCGCGCGCGCATCCGTGGTGGAAATCCTCGCAGCCCGACCGGAAGTGACCCGCGCGCAGGCGGTCGAAGCATTCGAACTGCTGGGCGCCTCCTTCGCCAACGACAAGGAGTATTATTGCTTGAGAGTGAGTCTAACTTAAAAAAAAATGCTAATACAGCCCGACCGGAAGTGTCGCGCGCAGGCGATCGAAGCGTTGGCGCCTCCTTCGTCAACGACAAGGAGCTTGAGAGTGATTAGATTATGATCATGATGCCGCTGTAGGAAATGCCCTGCGATCAAAGTAGTAGTTTGTATCGTAGCTGTGTAGTAGTTTGGTTTATCATAAGCAGCCTATTAAAGGGGACAGCAGGGAGACTGGGTCATGATGACCCACCATGCGGGCTCAGTGCGGATTGGTGGGTGTTAACGACTGCAGATGCAGCCGGGAACAATAGCTTAACGTGCCTTCGGAAGCTCGGAGGAGCTCGAGATAAATAGTTTTCGGCCACCCATTTAAGGACCGACCATAGCGAAAGTTGCTTAACATTCACGATCGCAGGCCAAATGTGCTACCCACCTACGCCATCGAGCTCCTCCGGAGTTTATTCAATGTTTGTAAATGAACACCGTTGCCGCAGCTTTGATTTACTTTACTAAGTGCTAAGAGGCTGCTATGAGGGTGTTTATGAAAATGTGCATCATCAGTTGGCGCCACTGTGACATGAGGTCTTTTGTATAAAGTTTCTGGTGCTAACTAACCGACGAGCATTTAAATTGATCTATAAACTATGACGACATACAAGCTTTGACGGATGAGTAGACTTCGATGATCAGTGCTGCCACCTGGCGCCTGTCATTCCAGAAAACCCTCATTGCTTCCTGTTATTTTTAAATATAAGAGAGTGTGGACCGAAATTGTGTTAATATAAAGCTTTTTTTAAACAAATTGAGGATCACATGGAACGTCCTCTCTATGAATAATTTCCTTTAAATGTTATGATAATGACCTGATAAACTTCAATGATAAGAAACATTGAGGATAAAACTGTAATTTCTTTCAGTTTTTTATCACTGAAATAAAATAATACCTATAATTGATATGTTGTTTGATATTAAATAACAAGATCAAAGATATGTGCTATGATATAAAATATACTAATTCTTTCTTTAATATAAGTAGTTGAGTTGAAAGTCGATAGGAATCTGTCGCCAATCTGCACAATCTACATTGTCCCGTGTGGTAGTATAGTCATCTCATCACCAATAATGGCGAATAATAAAAAAAAACTTTGTGTAGTTTACATTCACGCATGGGAATGTTCGGGTTCTCAGGGTTATTCTCTCTTATTCCACCTTCCCCTTTCCTTTACAAGACCACGCGTGCTGGCCTACGTTGTCACCGTCTAACTGTGGCCACAATTCTAACGCGTACAAAGAAAGGACATGGTAAAGTTTTGTATGAGCGACTGCCCTGGCAATGTATAAATACTGTACTTAGTAATATTTAATGGTAAACGACTGAATATTTATAATTTTCATGAAAAAAGGCTCAGGAACTTTTGATAAAGTCACAATCTTGAAAATTATAAAAACTCCTACTATGTCATTACCTTACTACAGTTGATAAAAGATGTTGCCAATTATTTACAGAGTCATCAATTTTGCATTTTCTTAGAATCTTTCTTCCCATTTCTCTGATTAACTCTTCACAAAAAGTTTTTTAAAGCAAAAATAAATACAAATAAGTTGATATCGTCAGCCTGACAAGAAATCTGTGAAGTTTTATTTTGTCCATTTGCAAAAATTAAAGGATTAATTATCATACAGCCTTGTCTCAAGCCTGATCAGAATAATAAATACTATTATTTAAGCCCTTCAGTGACTTGTTATAATAAAAATTAGGGCCAAATATGTCATGGGTTAAAGGAATTTAGAAATAATATTATTTATTTCGATATACTTATATACATATATACACAAATATTTTTTGTGTACATTTATTGTTCATTTATTTTGTAAACCGGAACATTTTGCTTTTGAAACAGACATGAAGTCAATATTTATACTTTTTAATATGTGATTATTTCACGAAAGTTCTATGTGAATTATAAACACGTAATAATTAATAAAAAAATATTGTAAAGTTACGGGTTAGTGCGAAATATTTTTACACGTTAAGGGCAGTTTCTTAGCCATGTCCTTTGGTGACTCATTTCTTTGTCGCATTATCCGTAAATGGAATGCTCTGCCCGCTCACGTGCTGGCCGGCAAGGTGAGGATGGCTGGTGTGGCAGGTAGAACTGTTGTACCAGCTTTCTTCACGTCTGGACTTCACCGTCACTTAACATCAGGTGGGGTGGAGTCACTTGTCGGACCTATCTTTAAAAGAAAAATCCCATCATAGAATTACTCATGGACTAGTTGGAATACAAGTCAATCAACGTGTGTGTTGTCTAATAGATGGCGTATCAGTACCTACACCGGGCGATGACGATGCGGTATGACACACGCTACGGTCAGTTGCTGAAGAAACCGGCCGATCCTATCGCGGCGTACGACAATTGGAAAGAGAGCACTACTTTGGAGGTATATTCGCTATCAATACGAATTTTGTACGATAAAATTGAGCTCGGAGATTCTCTTCTTCAATTGGGGAAGTATCGTTGTTGCTTTATACTGCCACTTCACTTAGCTATTCGTGTTTGGTATTTGTAAATTTGACACCAGGCTGTCCTTGTCTTATCTTATAACGCATGATAAGGACAGACTGTTGTCAAGTTTACAAATAGCCAAGCGAAGTTAGCCATTAGAAGTACATTTTTTTTTGTCATATTTTATCCTTACTTTAAAGTTTCAATTGAAAATAACGATAAAAGAAGAAAGAATTAATTAAAAAAGACTAAACAAAAAGATCTTGAAGATTTTGAAGAAGATTTTTTTTCTTTAAATTCACTGTTGATTAATTAATGTAAATAAGATGGCAACTATGCACCACGTCCAGCCTGATGGTAAGCGGCCATCATATCTTATTAACGCTCGCGATACTTTAATATAACTTGTATCATCAAAGAAAGGAATCGAAAATGCCAACGCAAGACATTCCGTCTATCTGCCACGTCACTAACCTCTCGTTTACACCAAGAAACAAGTCAATACTAGTTTTACACAAAACTCGTAGAATACTTGTTGTGACATTTTTTCGTTTACACTGCATAGATAACTAGTATCTTTATAAGTATAAATGAGAGAGATAGAAAATTATTTTATCGACTAATAAAAACTTAATCATATCCTTCAAACAGCGGAAATAAAAACATATATAAAAAGTAAACAACACAAACATTAATAATCCTAATAAAGTTATAATATTGGTCAATCAGGACCCTGCCTCAGCATAACGCTGCCGTGACATGTTCACATAAATCACTATTTACTTCACATGTTATGTGAATCCAACAAGTTTAATGCAAGTATTGTATACTACTGGTTTCTACATGTAGATAAGTATGAACAAAAAAATAAGACATTGTATAAAATTTGTTATATACATCTATACTTCCATCTATGTTATGTAACCCAGGGTGTGAAAAAAAATATCAGTGTCCGCTATATCTGCCGCCCCCGGGGGTTTTCCTACAAAGGCGGCGACACTACGCACAGTGTCCGCTAGATCTGCCGCCCCCGGAGGTGTTCCTATAAAGACGGCGACACTACGCACAGTGGACGCTGCATCTGCCGCCCCCGGAGGTGTTCCTATAAGACGGCGACAATACGTAGTAGTATCTTCTAGATCTGCCGCCCCCAAGGCTGTTCCTATATAGGCGGCGACACTACGCAGTGTCCGCCAGATCTGCCGCCCCCGGGGGTGTTCCTATAACGACGGCGACACTACGCACAATGTCCATTCGGGCCTCGATCTGCCACCCCGGGGGCGTTCCTATATGGATGGCGACACTACGCACAGGGGCCGCTAGATAGGCCGACTCCGGGGGTGTTCCTATATACGCGGTGACACTACGCACAGTGTCCGCTAGGGCCCAGATCTGCCGCCCCGGGGGTGTCCCTGTATAGACGACGACACTACGCACACTGTCCGCTAGGGCCCAGATCTGCCGCCACGGGGGTGTCCCTGTATAGACGACGACACTACGCACACTGTCCGCTAGATCTGCCGCCCCCAAGGGTGTTCCTATAAAGACGGCGACACTACGCAGTCTCTGCCAGATCTGCCGGCCCCGGGGGTGTTCCTATATAGTCAGGTGAAACTATGCACAGTGACCGCTAGACCTGCCGCCCCCGGGGCTGTTCCTATATAGACGTCGACAGTACGCACAGCTTCCGCTAGATCTGCCGGATCCGGGCGTGTACCTATATAGAAAGAGACACTACGTATAGTATCTACTAGTCTGCCCCCGGGCGGTCTTCCTATATAGACGGCGACTCTACGCAGTGTCCGCTAGATCTGCCGCCCCCGGGGTGTTCCTATAAAGACGGTGACACTACGCACAGTGTCCGTTAGGGCCCTGATCTGCCGCCCCCAAGGGTGTTCCTATATAGGCCAGACAGTGAGATCACAATTCACGTGGCAGGAGGTGGAGCGTCTGTCGGGCGATGCGCACGCGCTACACATGGAGGGGCTGACTGTCTGCGAGCGAGTATTGGGTCGCGAGTGCCCCGATCTGCAGCCCCCAAGGGATTTCCTATAAAGAAAGCGACACTACGTAGTGTCTGCTAGATCTGCCGCTCCCGGGGTTGTTCCTGTAAAGTCGGCGACACTACGCATAGTGCCTGCTAGATCTGCCGCCCCTGGGGTGTTCCTATATAGGCCAGACAGTGAGAACACAATTCACGTGGCAGGAAGTGGAGCGTCTGTCGGGCGACGCGCAAGCGCTGCACATGGAGGGGCTGACTGTCCGCGAGCGAGTATTGGGTCGCGAGTGCCCCGATCTGCATCCCCCAGGGGTTTTCCTATAAAGAAAGCGACACTACGCAGTGTCTGCTAGATCTGCCGCCCCCGGGGTTGTTCCTGTAAAGACGGCGACACTACGCATAGTGCCTGCTAGATCTGCCGCCGCTGGGGTGTTCCTTTATAGGCCAGACAGTGAGATCACAATTCACGTGGCAGGAGGTGGAGCGTCTGTCGGGCGACGCGCACGCGCTGCACATGGAGGGGCTGACTGTTCGCGAGCGAGTATTGGGTCGCGAGTGCCCCGATCTGCAGCCCCCAGGGGATTTCCTATAAAGAAAGCGACACTACGTTGTGTCTGCTAGATCTGCCGTCCCTGCGGTGTTCCTTTATAGGCCAGACAGTGAGATCACAATTCACGTGGCAGGAGGTGGAGCGTCTGTCGGGCGACGCGCACGCGCTGCACATGGAGGGGCTGACTGTTCGCGAGCGAGTATTGGGTCGCGAGTGCCCCGATCTGCCGCACCCTGTGGTGTTCCGAGGCGCTGTGTTCGCGGATGAAGCGAGATTCGACCGCTGCTTGCAACTGTGGCGGCATGCGTTGCTACTACGGCAGCATAATGCGGTAAGTTTCAATTAACATCATAATCAGCTTTTTAATGTCCCCACTACTGGGGCACATGCTTTCCCTATGGATGGAATGAGGAGTTTGGGCCATGACCTTCCATGTGGGCCCAGTGCGGATTGGTGGGTGCTAAAGACTGCAGATGCAGGTGGGACCAACGGCTTAAAGTGCTTGAGATAGTAAATTTTTGGTCACCCATCCAATGACCGACCACTGTGAAAGTTGCTTAACTTCAACGATCGCAGCGGAACGCGTTAACCACTTGCGCCATCGAGCTCCTCGCCTCCTCAGTAAGTTTCAATACTACCTACATACTAACATACTCATGCAGTGCTACGAAGTGCTTATGGCACTTTAATGACATTGACAGGAGGGAGCTGCTGGTGAATAAGTGGTGGCCTAAGGATTAATAATTACATTAAATCTCTTCGCAGAGGGAACTTTAAAATTTGCAATAACTTGAAAAGAGAAATATAAAAAGCTTATTAACACCTTCATTTTTATATATATATATATTTTATATATATTTAAAAGGCTTTTTATACCTCCCTTATATTAGTCCCGATTTTGGTCACGTGCCACAAGATGACACTTAGTCGCTGTATAAAGATTGTTTTGGATAACCGCTTAAGTGACGATCGTCTAGCTGCAGTATCAAACGACTTTTGAGGATCCCGTACCCAAATAGTGGCAAACGGAACCCTAATAATACCAGCGCCGTCTGTCAGTCGTATTTAAACAGTGATAAAATTTCACAGAATGCGTGTCACATTGGCTGCGCTGCTATCACAACTTCTTTCGAATTTATAGATGCAGTATCTATAAATTCGAAAGAAAAGTTGGTGTATGAAATAAAAAAACGGAAAAGAAAAAAAAGACATCAGTACTGAAAAGGTGCATGCTTTAGCGATTTGCAAAGTCTCAACTTTTTGAGTAATTAGGCTTCGAGAAGATACATGTGCGAAGTGTGTCCGAATCGCAATTTTTTATCACAGTTTTCTTATCATATTAATTTTTATGTTTTGTATTATTTGAAGGTGTCCGTTGTAAAGGATTTGCTCAGGTTCGCTCAAGTTTTCTCACAGATGATACACATTGGAATAGAACTACCGCTTGCTCAGGTAAATAAAAAATTTATACCTTCATTTTTGTAGTTCCCATGTAATGGACCTTCTTTTGCTTCATTGAAATCACAGATTTATTTATAAAAGAGACAATGGACCTGAAACAAAATTTGACAATAGTTATTTCCTTATCGTGTTCTGTAAAGAATGAGAAAGATAGCCTGTTGTCAAATTTAGTTTCAGATTTAGACAGTCGAGCCAGTATCAGGTCCAAATATTCATTGCTTTGAAACGTTTTTTTAGTATAGATCGTCATCATCAGCCTATTAATGTTCCCACTGCTGGGGCACAAGCCTTTCTTATGGATGGAATAGGGAGATTGGTGGGAACTAACAACTGCAGATGCAGCCGGGCTAACGGTTTAACGTGCCTTCCGAAGCATGGAGGAGCATGAGTTAATAAATTTTTGGTCACCCATCCAATGACAGACCACTGCGAAAGTTGCTTAACTTCAACGATCGCAGCCGAACGCGCTAACCATTTAAGCTATCAAGCTCTTCATACCTCAATATAGGTGACATCATTTAATTCTAAATATAAGAGCAACATTTTTGTATTCAGGTTTGCTACGTATTGGAGGCTTGTGTGGAAGAGTTGAAAAGAGGTACACAGAGACTGGAAAAACCACAATCAAACCACGACCCGGATGCTTTATTAGTATGTAAATAAACTTTCATACACAATCACCTTGTAGCTGCTTTTTTGTTTATTGTTGACACGCGAAACTAGTTCTTAGTTACGTAGTTGTAAAGACCAATTTTGTATAAGGTATTTTTTAATATCAAAAGTATCGCAAGAATACACATGCTTGCTTGAACTTTCATCTTAATTCGATATAATGTAAGTATAATAAGTCTTTCATTATACATATATCATTGATTTTTGGAGCATGATCATAATTTATTTCGTTTTAACTTATTTTTGATAAATCATTATATTAATTGCCATATTCAATTGTTCTGGTGATCTAAAATAGCAAGATTGGAACTTCATATATTGCTCCTAAAATGTTTCAAATTTGCAAATATTAAGATGAGATATTAATATGACAAGATATTTTAACATCAAATGAATAAACTTTATATTAAATTAAATTATTGATTTCACAGAATCCTTAAAATTTTGACTCGGTTCCATTCAAATGTTGCCATTTTAAATCATTAGATTATTTTAATTGTAAATAATAAGTACAAAACCTTAGATATAATCTCAATAATCTGTGGCACACCCAGTGATAACTATATTAATTTATCTCACCGATTTCGACGGTTAGTCAGTATTTAAACACAGAATTAACTTATAACTCTGGGCACTGCAAGACGAACTATTTATGAAACTTGAGTTAGCATTATACATAGAGATAAATGAGTTAATTTTGGACTGCGTAAGTTGCCCATAAAATAACCCAACCCAATAAATAATAATTCGTCATTACAGAAAATGCAATAACGAAAATCTAAAAGGTATTTCTGAACGTTAAGAATAAAAATAGCTTGTGGCAGTATAGTTCGTCAAGAAAAATACGAGAGTAACATACGCGTAACCACGTTGTAATGTTTAACTCATAAAGTGAATCTATGTTTTTCGTTACTAATTATACAATAAAACTATATCATTAAAATGACTTAATAAGAGTATTTAGTAAAAATTCTTTGTCTTACAACACCGATTGACAACAGCAGAATATCTCGATAGTTCATTTTAAAGTTCCTACCAAGTTAGTTCGGTCTATTTTTGCTCTAACATTGTTTAAAAGCTTAGCTACTGTTTGTTAAACGCTGCTAAACTTAACAGTGCTTAACCAGCTTATTTATGATACTAAGTTGATTTTTTAATAAATATTGCATTTATGGCCTGCACAGACGAAGGACTTTTAACTAGAAAATAATTCACGCGGACCAGGAATCTAGATTAAACTAAGAAATACTAGAAAAAATTCGAAACGGCCATCAGGGTCGCGGTAGCATAATGGTCAGTGCATTCGCCTGGATAGTGGTGGGTGCGTTGTCCGCGGAGGCGGAGGACAAAGGACAAAACTTGTCACGGACTAAACGCACACGATGTGCAACCATTTGTCGCCCGAAAATTTTGAACAGTGCTATTGAAGTAAATATTCTCAGATTGCGTTGTGTTGTTAATTAAAATGGAGTCTAAAAAAAGAAGAAGTTTTAAAAGATAATACTGAGTTCTTTCCTTAAATTGGATCGAGCGAGAAACACAGACCAAAGTTCACTGTGTGCCTTGCTAGTGCCTAGTCACGTGATCTCTATTCTATCGGGGATTTCCGCGTACTTTTGTCCTGTCCTGTCTCGGTGACCTCGGTTAGCCAGGGGACTGTTTGTACGCGGTATTTTTAGTCCGTCATGTGCGTTACTCGACGCAGTTGTGAGCTATCTATTTCGGCGTGCGAAAAAGTCCCTCGCCTGCGCAGGCTATTATTTCAATGATACATTTCATCAAAAACGCCCATGTGTTGACCAAAATATCATAGGCACTATTAAAATATAATACAATTAATATGAATCAATAATACCTGCTAACATTACATTGAATAAAATAAAAGAGTTGTAGGTAAAACCAAAGGTATTTCTGAGAGTTAAGGTTAAAAATTGCTTGTGCTAGGTGTTAGGTTTGTCTGTTTGTGCCATAGTTCGGTCGTGAGCACTGACGCGAAGAGCTTGGCTCGCACATTTTGCTTCCAGGAGGAATACGAGAGTAACATACGCACCGCCCTATATCTGGTCGCAGTCGCCGCTAGATTGTTGGAAAACCCCGATAACAGTGAGGTAAGAAAGGTTTTTCTTTTTTCTTTCTTTTGAAGGAGACGGGTCAAAAGCATAGAGGTATAAGAATAGAGTAGGGGAGATATGGACTCTACTACAAGTGGAAGTGTCCCTCTGATAGAAAGAGAAAGAAGATGAGTGACCGCCAACTTTCTCTCTCTTTTTGCGCATGCGCATTGGCAACCGTAAGCATCTTACTATTTCGATATGATGCTTGGACTAACCATTGGACAGACGACTGCGCATGCGTCACAAGAGAGAGAGATAGCTAGCGGTCTCTCATCTTCTTTCTCTTTCTACTAGACGGACACTTTTAGAGCCGCCTTCCCCACTCTATTCTTCAAACCTCTATGGTCAAAAATGGTATGGTCAAAAAGTTTGTTTTATTTAATGACTAGAACACATAAATATATTTTTTTAATTATCTCCTATTAATTTTAAATCGTGTGTGTAAATTTGACAATTTAGTAAGGATTCTGGCCACCCAGTCATACGTCACGTCATATTTTTAGCCTAAGGCAGCTTATAATCTCAATACAATCCCTATGTCAAATGTCAATCAGTTTTATCATGATTGACATTCGTGAAATCGTGGTGAAATTATTATACCAATTTATGATTGATCCTTCTTGAAATTAAATCAATAAATGAAAATGACGAGCGATAATAATAATGTATATTTAATTAAAATACAATTAATGCAGATATTACTTTGCATTCGTCATTCTTTAGTCTACGTTTAGACGTTTTTGATTTATTAGCATTAGTTAATCTCATATGATAAAGCGATTATAGTCGAGTGGCGTGGGTGTCATGCCTTTTTACGCATAGACTAGTTAAAGAAAGATTGTTTAACATAATATTTAATTTTCTTTCTATCTGTCGGTTAGTTTTGAAACTAATCCAGATTGATCGGCATAGATATTGCAACTCATATTATTATGAAATGCTACTGCATTCTCTGTTTTGCTTATTCAGTGTAAATATTTACGTTTGAATGAAGAGAAAATTGTCCTTCTATCACTAATTAATAATGATCTTACAAACTTACGTTAAGTCATACAGTAGCGTGGGGAAACTACACTGGCCTCCAAATATAGTACATATCACTTTAACATTTTATATAGCTTCGAAATAAAGAGGACTAGGAGGAAAACCCGTTCTATTTGATAATATTAGTTAAAAAAAAAAGTTGATAAAATTAGCTATAAAAAGACTTTTTAATTTAAATCTCTAACTTCAATAATTTATTAAATTGTGGAAAATGTGATACATAATTTTGCAGGTCAGTGTATTTTAATCTTTATGCCAGTAGCGTATTTAAACGACCTCCATGGTGGAGTGATATGTACTCCTATTTTCAAGGTATCACCCTTTCAGAGGGCCTGGTTTGAATAGGGTAAATATTTGTATGATGAATATAATTGATTCATCATACTGTATCTATATCTATATATCGAGATAATAAATAAAAATTAACAACATAAACATTAATTATCGAAGCCCCCAGCTTTACGATACTGGGGTAACAAATTGTATACCTAAATAAGGATATTGTTTTTTTTATGTAGAAATACATATAAACATCTAGGGCCTTTTAAACACACATGCTCGTATTCAATTGGTGCTGGATTGGCAGTTTTTTTCTCCATTGGTGTGACTGGTAGAAATATTTATTTATACATTGTTATCGTTAGGAGACGACATGTTCAGTGAGAAGAGCCGTGTTCAGATTGAGAAACGTCCGCCTCAGATGCGGCCAGACGCTGCTGCATCTCGCCGCCGACCGTCGCACGCCCGTCGACGACTTCCACACCAGCGACGTGTGCCAGTAAGTAAACACTACACTGCACTAAACTGTATTAAACTACACTACCACTATACTGCTCCAAACTTCACTAAATAAATGCATCTCTCCGGCGACCGTCGCACGCCCGTCGACGACTTCCACACCAGCGACGTGTGCCAGTAAGTAAATACTACACTGTACTAAACTGTATTAAACTACACTACCACTATACTGCTCCAAACTTCACTAAATAAATGCATCTCACCGGCGACCGTCGCACGCCCGTCGACGACTTCCACACCAACGACGTGTACCAGTTAGTAAACACTACACTGCACTAAACTGTATTAAACTACACTACCACTATACTGCTCCAAACTTTACTAAAGAAATGCATCTCTCCGGCGACCATCGCACGCCCGTCGACGACTTCCACACCAACGACGTGTACCAGTTAGTAAACACTACACTGCACTAAACTGTATTAAACTACACTTACCACTATACTGCCCCACACTTATTTATATTACTGCATAAGCTTACCACAAGAGTGAACACACACAAACATATGCACGCACGCAAACAGAAGCAAGCACACAGAACGTAACACATACTAACTTTGTGTAAGTGCAACTATATTATTGTTTTATTATATATATATTATTAAGTTTTAAAGAGGACCTCCGTAAAAGAAAAATGATTTCTACATAAAAGGAATAAATACATAGGTAGTTTCATTTTCATTTCTAAATAAGGTATATCTGAGGAACTCCTAACCAAGCTGGAACGTCAGCAGAATATGTGTATCACATTTATTTTTGACCTACGTAAATATGACCATGTGTCACATCTTCGATACAAACTAAAATGGCTCCCTATTCGCCGACGCGGGACTTAAACACACTTACGGTTCTCTATTCTGTACTTTTGCTTCCTTCTTCTCCGTCCTATCTAAAAGAATGTTTCTCTTTTCTTGATTCTAAATCAGAAGGCACTTTGCGGTCCTCTTCGAGACAACGTGATAGATTGATGTTGCCCAATATGCGTACTCAATATTACAATAAAAACTGCTATCCGAATTGTATAAAAATTTATAATAAGTTACCACGCTTGATAACGGAGCTTAGTTTGCCTATATTTAAAAGGAAGCTTAAAATGTGGCTAATAACAAAATGTTTTTACTCTGTTAGAGAATATTTAGAAACGAAAATTGACTTAGAACAGAACTAGCAAACCTGTGAACCAAATGTTCACAAAAAAAAAAGTATTTAATTAATTGAGAATTTCGGAGATTTTGTGTGGTTTCGTTTGAAATAGAATTCACGTGATTTCTCGAAAACCGGAAGTGCTACGTTACTCACATCCGGTTTGTAGTCTTATCAGACTATTCTTAACTTATAACTTAAACATTCTCTATCTATCTCATACGGTTTGGCCGCTGAAACAGCACCACGGACGGACGGACGGACGGACGGACTTGTCTAATAGATAAGAGATAAGTAAAATGACATAAGTACCTTTAAATGTCAGAATTAAATTAAGTTTGACATTCACATGCCGTGTCGTTGGCAAAATGGACGAACTAAATGAAAATCACCACCAAAATGTATCTACTCTGTTTTGTGTGAATAAATAAATTTCATTTCATTTCGAATCTAACATATTAAAAAAAGAATATTATTATTATTATTGAGTCGACCTTCGTACGCAAGTGATATTTACGTAAGTGATATTTAAGTCCTATATTCTCATATATTTTGCGACAGGTTCCCTTGTATGAGGACGACGCGGTTACTTCTAGAGTGCGGCCTCGACGTAGACGCATCCGATGACACGAGACGGACGGCTCTGCACGTTGCCCTAATATCGTACCAGTTAATACCAGGCAAGTTTCGGAAATAGACCAATCGTCGGTCTTTTAATGTCCTCACTGCTGTGGTAGATGTCTTACTTGTGGATGGAATAGGAAAAACTAATGAATTAGAAATAACATGGAATACCAATTGCGCTTAAAAGTAGTTCCACGCAAACTGCGATCAAGTAAGTGGGCGGGGCAAAAAAAACTGCGATCTACAAGCCGATCATGGTATTAGTTGGGATTATCTCACCCAATAAACGGATAGCCGAATGCATTTGCCGATATTTGATTTGTAAAAATGTTTAGTTTGTGTGCGTGTTGCGTTAGTAATGAAGTTTAATTGTATGAGTTTGGAACCATATTTTAGCGGCCTTTGTTAAAAAGTAATGCTTCCATAATATCATTTCTAATTCCTTGGTTATAACCGATAAAACGGATATCGCATTGGTCAGTGCTAATTAATGACTGTGCAGATGAAGTCAAGCGGCGCATGGCAATCACGAGGTCAGCTATGGACAAACTTCAAAAAATATGGAGAAACAGGAACATCACAAAAGCCACGAAAATACGACTCGTCAGGGCATTAGTGTTTTCCATATTCCTCTATGGTGCTGAGACGTGGACCTTGCGAGAGAGTGAGAAAAAGAAGATAGACGCTCTAGAAATGTGGTGCTGGAGGAAAATGCTTGGCATACAGACACAATTCCGAACCAATGCATCCATCCTCCAGGAACTGTCCATCAACATGAGGGCCGCGAGTCTGTCCTGAGGGTGCCAGGCTTGCATTGCACAAGCTCTCTGGATGTTGATGCCCCTAATACTCCGGGGCATCTTCATCGGGGCGGGTCCGCTTGCGGACAATCACCTTGCGGGTGGGCGGACTATTCGAAAACGGATACCGCCACATCACTCGCACTCCCGGTGCGCACTAGGAGGGACCGCGGTCCCTCATAATGCGCGCCGGGTGACCGGTGCAAGAGTATTGTCTAGTTTTTACGGTCGCCCTTGTGGCGGTCGCCTTCTTGGCGAGGTATGTCCCCGCTTGCTTCTCGGAGCACTTGTGTTCCCTGAAGCGGCGGAGAGGAGTCCCCGATAGCTTCGTCCGCAACCCTCGGTTGGCGAAGTATGCGTAATGCATTTTCCTGTCCATCAAACAACGTCTGTATTTCATCGTACAAGGTCGTATTCTAACTTTCTTTGGCCACATCTCACGCCGAGAAGATGCGTCAGTGGAACGACTGGTGGTGCAGGGTAAAGTCGAGGGCGTAAGGGCGCGCGCCAGATCACTAATGCGCTGGACTGACCAGATAAAAGCGGCAAAGAACGGTCCACTTCACGAGTGCACTAGAAAGGCCGCAGTGCGGGACGAATGGCAGCGTATTGTGAAGCGCGCCACCAATCCTGATGTGACGACCACGACCACTCTGTCAAGAGTGTAGCGCCGAAGAAGAAGAAGTAATGACTGCAGATACAGCCGAAAAACTGCTTAATGTACCTTCAGTAGCACGGAGGAGCTCGAGATAATATTTTTGGTCACCCATCCTATAACCAGCTATTGCGATAGTTTCTTAACTTCCACGATCGCAGACCCGCAACCCACTATGCCATCGAGCTCGACCTATCAAAAACTTTATGTGGTTAACAGTTTACGGAGAAGTTGCACAGTGCAAATTTTTGGTGACCCATCCAATGAATGACCACTGCGTAAGTTGCTTAAATTCAACGATCGCAGCCGAACGCGCTAACCGCTTGCGCCATCGAACTCCTCATTAGTTGCACATACTTAAAATAAGGTGAATTCTGTGTAACAGATTGAATGTTGCATTAAGTCAGTCATTGACCTTAAACACTTTAATTAATAAAATAAAATGTTTATTGTATTATAAACAGACGAGAGAGAACAGTGGAGCGAATCTCTATGCGCCGTAGTATGCGAGTTGCTGTCACACGGAGCCCACGTTGACGCCATGGATGCGGACGGAATCACGCCGCTAGTGGCCGCCATAGGAGGTATTTACCATGATTATAATAATAATTTATTTCCAATAAGAAGTTATTTACTATTAAACTTATAAGGCTAAAACACTTCTAATATCTCTAACATAACTACATATTTATCTACTGCCGAGCTAGGCAAAATGCCTGCATTACGGCATACAGCGCCAATCCTCTTAGCACATATGGCATCATTAATCCATTACATTCAAAATTAAATGGAAAAGACAGAAACTGACATATATATTCAGAAAATGTCTGCGTGTGTGTGTGATTAGAGTAATAATTTAAATATGATTAATGCTAAAGTAGCAACCACATGCATTCAGTCCGTCCTACTTTTTTCGATTTTTAATTCTCGTTACGTTCGGTGTGGCGCTGTTTGAATTTCCATACGCAACCTTTTGACATTTGACGCGTATCGAGATCGGATTAAACTATCCTAATTCGATATTGGTTCGTGCTAACTAATCCAAGCTTATTCTTTGTTAGTTAATAAAGGGGGTAATATTTGCCGCTACCTATGCCATAATTTTGTGTAAGAGCAAAGACAGCAGAGAGAGAGCGAGAGAGTGAGAGAGAGACAGAAAGAGTGAAGAAGACGGATAGAAAGAACGGCAGCGAGAGAGAAAGAGGAAGATACCGAAAGAGAAGCAGAGACCCCAGGTACTTACAATTACTTACAGCCAGAGAGCTGAATAATGAAGTGAATGTTTGAACGCGAATATGAGTTGCCATGATATAAGTAACCCTATTCGGATTGAGCCATGTGACTGCGAAGTTAGCAAATAGCATTCAATCCAATGCGCAGCCAAATTAATAACTTCAGATCAAACAACATTATGTCTGAGTTGTATGTATGTTGATTCACTTATTTTTAAGCAAGTTGATTACTTTAGAAAGTAATCAACTTGCTTAAAAATAAAGTAATAATCGTAAAGTTATCAAAGAAGTTAATTTTTGACGACCTCCGTGGCCGAGTGGTCCCGGGTTCGAATCTCGGTGGGGGCAGATGTTTGTGTTATAAATACGAGCATTTGTACTCCAGGTATGGATGTTTAATATGTATTTCTATATAAATATACTTAAATATGTACAGTATATGTATTCTATCCGTTACCCTAGCATCCCATAACACAAGCCCACGGAGCACCCCCACTAGAGTCCGCATACAAGGGCAAGCGCTTACGCCAAGCTTAAGTAGTATATTACCTATGCGTGAGGCACGCCTACAGACGTCGCGATACATCGTTTCATTCGGTAACCGAGCGTTGGTCGAACTGCTTCTCTCGTTTTCGTATTAAAAAACTGTAAAAATGCCGTACTGTGCAATTAAATTGTGTGGAAAGTCGAGTACAACTTCCAGTCTTCAAAAAATGGTATTACTTTTCACTGGTTAGTTTAAAGCATTACAAAAAGACAAAAATACTGTTATATTAAATTGCTGTTAATGTATTTATTTTTTGGTGAACGCGTTGATGTCTTTTTACACTATCCCTTTCTCGCATGGACTACATCATATATGCTATCTCGCTCTCACACCGGCACGTGTATTGCTAGTGACTCAGACGCAGCTCATGTCTCAACGCGTAAGTTTGTCGATAAGTTTGTCAGCTATGGAAATGGAAAAAATAAATAAAAACTATTTATTTCATCGTATACAATAATAGATGTCATAAGTATACAACCAACAGTTTTTATTTGATTGAAGTCAAACATATCCTGATAAAATTTTAAAAACGCGAAAATTTGTATGCATATTTGTTACTCTTTCACGCTAAAACGGTTAAACGGATTTGTATGAAATTAAGTGCGCATAGTTTATGACCTAGATAAAGACATAGAATTAACGATATTAAATACCCTAGATACACCACGACCGCTCAAAATGTGTCCCAATATCTAAATAGTCTGTGGTCCCAATCAAGAAGTGCTTGAACTCCACTCAAGCACTTCTTAGTACACAGTCACACGCGGACCGTTGAAAAGTCAAGATACCAAAGAGTTCCGTGAAAAAATGCAGAAAAATACTAATAGTACGTAAAGTGTCGTTTTTTCGACGGGTATCTAATTAATGTTTTTTAATTAACGCCTTTAAAGCAAATTTAATTGTTGTAATACTTACTATAAACTGATTTAATTTAAAATATTTGTGATATTCAAATGCATGGTCGGTTATACGTCGCCCTTAGCCATCTCTTTTCTTCGCGGTCTGTACCTGCTATATTGTTAACAGCGCATTCAGAATTGCGCGTGAAAAGTAAAAAAAAATAAGGTCTATATTCTTTCACATATAACACTAAATCGTAAAATTTTACGAACTTGCCGCATGCATTTTAATTAAGACCTTATGCCGTATGCATTAAAGGTGACTTTCGATGTTTAAATAAGGCATTATATTGTTTTTGACCATGCGATCATCTTACGGACCTCCGTGGATCGTCCAATGTACTTTTTGGACACGCTTCGGCCACGATTTTGTTCGTGTTGTTGTATCTAGGGTAGTTAATATCGTTGCATTAATACTTCTTGTCCTGGACGTGTTTTTTTTTGTGTTGCTTACATATTAAATTATATGTAGTTACTAGTCGCGTCATGTAATTAGAACGCTGTAAGAAAGTGGAGAGGGTATGATTACGCATTTGCGCACCAAATTACTAGGCCTCTATTCTAAATTGTTTATCGATAGAAAATATCGATATTTTCCAAAATCGATCTTACCGTCATCACTTCGCTGCACTGAGTATATGATCTGACCTTGACGCGTCCAATCACAGCGGGGCTGACCTCCCTGCACCCCACCGACTTTGGCGATTTTGATTCCAAACAAAATTTGTGTGATGCGGACTCTAGTGGGGGTGCTCCATGCACAAGCCTTACAGTGCTTACTTTGGGATTAGGCTAATTGGTGTGAGTGTTTGAAATATTTATTTATTTATTATAATCTAAAGAAAAGTTTACTAGAAAAAAATCCACGCGGACCAGGCAGCAGACGAGACTCGAACCCGCACCCTTCACAATCCGGGCGAATGCACTGACCATTATGCTACCACGGCCCTATTCGCCGCGTCGAAATTTTCCTAGCCTTAAGATTTTTTTCTAGTAAACTTTTCTTTAGATTTAAACATCCAGCAGTTAAATGCTTAAAAAATAAACAAAAAATAACTAGTTATTATAAGTTTAAAAATTATATTAGTAGATTTATTTATCAATTTTCACAATATATAATTATCGTATTTATTTGTTTCCGTATAGGGCCCGCAGAGAGTTTAGTCCGAGGCGCGATAAGGCCACGTTTGACATGTTTAGCCGCCGCAGCGATGGCCATGAATGGCGTAAGATACCGCCCCGTGTCAGTACCCAGAGATCTACACGGATTTCTACGAATGCACGGGGTTGCGCCCCAGTAACACCCATATCTAATCTAAACACAAAGCCAATGATGCAAAGAAATGGTAGAAAATAATATCGACCCATCTCAAGAAACAGACTGGACAAATAATGTTATTGTTTTATTCTAGCGAATTACTTTAGATATATTAAGAAAAATAAAAAGTCAAAATGTTTATATAAAAATACTAGATAGTAAGATTTATTTCTTAAAGTCACAAAGATGTGCCCGCTTACTTGATTGTCAAATTAACCGCTTTTATTCTTATAATCGCGAAAAGTTGAATTACTGTTTCAATTGTACGTTTTGTCAATTTCTTAGTGTTACGAATTCTTTTAAAGGATGTTTAAGACAGAGAAATTGTAGTGGAACAGGTTGATTAGACTTTTCGTGGTGTTCTAATAATAATGCAGATACAAATATATAGGTATAACCGATACAAGATAGTATTTCATCAAAGTCTTTCTTGACGCTCATACAGCATTAAATAATTGATTTTGCTAAGCAAAATTAGGAAGTATGTACTCAGACTCTAAAAGATCATAATAAAACGGCAGGTGACAATAATCTAAAACTAAAATAGAGAGCATTGTAAAAGTAATAATTAATATCTAAAAATAATTAAAAAATATTTTTTTTGGTGTGAGTTTTGAAAATCGATGGCACAAAAAATGGGCACTGAACATGCAGCTTTATATAAAAATATCATAATAATTTAAGATATCGTAGTTACTAGCGCAAGTAAAATATTATATGATCCAAGGCTTTCAAAGAACTTTAATATTAACAAAGTTGACATAAACTACAGCTATTTCAAAGTATTTTTAAACACTACTTTAATTAATAATAATACACAGACGCGTGCCATAGGCTTATAATATTCAAATTTATCGAAATTATAAATAATGCTCTACTTATGATATTAGAAGTGCAATATTAGTTAAGTCTGGTAAAACTGAAAGTATATATACTCAAAGGGGGTTTGAGACCTATGTTTGTTAATATACAGACCTAATACGCTAGCAAATATGTTTTATAACGATCATGTTTGGACGAAAGAAAGAAGATGTATTATTTATTTACTTCCACAAATAACTTTTTTTTCCTAAACGTTTTCTGACTTGGGCTATTTCTCTAAAATGGAATTTGAAATAGCTTGCTATAAAAAATTTAAGCTGTTACAAAAGTCAAAAGTATACAGTTTGTATAGAACACAGGGTTGGATTGTGTTCAAACAGCTAAATATTTAATAGCTCAAATATAATGTTGTATATAATCAGAATAATATATTGTATCCGTTCGGATTGTAGGGGACGACTGTTGTGATAATAATATAGTTTTTATTTAAGTTAATATAATAGTAAAATCGCCGCTAGGTAAGCACAAAGACCTATATGTATTCATTAGAATACTCGTTATATCATTTGTATATAGTCACAACTATATTTTGAGAGATATTTCTAAGTGATATATCATAGTTCTTATTGTGTACTCGTTATGGACTATGTTTCCATTTTCAGAATTATTTGTGGCATGGCCTACAATGTTGCAAATCTGTACGAATTGTAAACAGATAGAAAAGTCTTATTCACGATTTCTTCTTTCTTATAAGTATAAGTAATATAAAAAAAAACTCTTTTTGCTGACACCGGTCATTATCTTTTTGACTTTTGAAAGTTTATTTTTTCCATCACAAAAGACAGAATGAAATAATGGTGTCGATTCTGGCATGATTCTCTAAAGCTTAACTTAAATTTGACAACAGTGTATCCTTGTCAATTTCTATACAGAATAAAAAGGACAGACTGATGTTATTATATTCAGTTTTAAGTTTAGAGAATTCTGCCAGAATCGACACCAATGTCTAACCTAAATGAATTTTAAAATCTACTCCTATTATTTTTTTATATAAACAATGCTATTTTATTTGAATACTCTTGTAAGTCACTTTATTTTTGTTTATTAGGTTATTTAGCTAAATCATCATCACAAGAAAACGCGAATAAGACAAGTTTAAATTTATAAACGTTTCAGAATCTGATCCTTTGTCTAGGGGAGTAGAGACGTCTCAGAAATATGATCGTTTGTGTAGGGGATTAGGTGTCGAAATACGTAGTCTTGTTATAGAGTAGCTACTTGTTATAATAGACTAGAAACACCTGTTGGAACTGTAGATGTATTTAAGAATACCTATCATAACACCATTGGTATGTAACGCACAAATTGTAATAGTTTTAAAATGGAAACTGTTTAATCATCTGTACTAATATTATAAAGAGGGATCTCTGGATCTACTGAATTGATAATGAAAATAATTTTAACAATAGCAAGCCACATTATTTATTTTTTACCCTTTACTAGAAATGCAACGAATTAATGAATTGACTAAATTTAATTAGCATTAACGTATCCCATATCTGACAATTCTTAATCTATGTAGTAACAATTATGTATATATTAAATAAAAATATTTTAATTTTAATATAATCATTGAAAATTGACAGCTATCTGTAAAAATTTCATGTTTTATTCTAGTTATAAAAATGAAAAAAAAAATGTTGTTGCATTTTGTTTTAGTTTTGTACTTCTCAAGGCATGATCTAAGTATTTGTTGGACTTTGAGTTTTGGCAATACTGACAGATTGACTCGGAAAAATCTAGAAAAATATACTACTATCCACTTTACCAGGTGTTTATGTTTTACGCTTTAAATTTAAAACAACTAGCTTTCCGAACGGGAATCAAACCCGGCCGTCCGGTGACAAATTTGTCTAGAGTCAAGAGTCAATGTGTAATATAAGTTTTTTAAACAACTTATCGATACATTAGTATTGATTTATTTCAGCCAAACTAACTTAAATGCAATTATGTTTTTTTTAAATGTTTCGCATTTATTTTGTACATTTTTAGTTCAAAATAATTTGTGTAGATCTACGATAGTAATGTAGACTCTCCTGCTTAGTATAATCTATCGACATGCAAATATATTTTCGCCCTATCACAAAGTGTCCACTAAAGTAAGACTTAAGTTTAAACCCCTAGTCTGTCTTCTCATTGGCGAACAAAAGTGAATATTGTTAAAAAACGTATTTTTTTAAAACTAGACTTAAATTTAGTCAACAATTTGTAATAAGGTGGTTTCTTTAATACATAACATTAGTTCTTCAGGGGTTTAATCAATGTAAGATTAACAAGTAATATATTTAAGGATTTTTCTGTGTTCACACACATACATAGCTTTAGTATGATACGTTATGCTATAACTACAGCTTTGATTGTATACACGCCTGCCGTATTAACTGTACGGAAAGGGCACAAAAAATATCTACTACATATGGTAGATAAAGCTCGTCGCTACACACGCACACATTGACTTTTTACAAAGAATTTGACAGTAGGTTCACTCACATAAATTGAACCGTTTTCTTTGCGTGGTTAATTTGGATTGATCTTTCTAGGCGTGTATATAATCAAACGACAGTCACCTTTAATAAAGGCTCTAACTCAATAACGTATTATTAGTAATGCTATGTCTTAACAATTACTCTTCTAGTAATTAAGCACTCTTTCTTTTTGGTTTTGTTGGTTATATTATGTTATCAATTCAGTTGTTGGACGCACTTTTATGCTTTACAAAATTCACATAGAGAAATCGAGCTTTGCATCAAAGATTATGGCAGCCATAGAGCACATGCCTAAAGCTTCCCATTAAGTAAGCCTATTTAAAAATATATGAATTTACATTTGATATTCTAGTTTATAACTTCTGATACAAACAAACCTTTTGTGTTTGTACCTTAAAGGTCAAATGTCTTCATGTATTATTCTAAAAGAATAAATTTGCATTTGCAGAGAGTCCTCCAGGGGCTGACGGCAAACTTAATCATCGACCATAGACAAGGAAGCTTACGCGATAGCAATTTTACATATAAAAACGTCTACTGCGCAAGTTTATTTGTCTGTGGTATTGCTCAAGAAGTTTGCCAGTTTGCCGCAACCTGTAACTATCTTCATCTGCTTTATTATCACATACATTTTGCACGCATTTGTATTCGTGGGAAAATGGTTTTACGGAATTTAGATCTCTAGACAACTATTTTTTCGTGCAATATTTTTGACGCTTATTCTATATAGGGTTTAGTATCTTTGAAGAAAAGCACTCTATGCAGGAAAATAGTACATATTTTGAATTGATGCTTCTAATGATAAAACAGACAGCTAGAGTATAATATTTAATAACCTCTTAGTTTGACTAAAGTATAATAATTTTATTTTTCATGGGCTCAATATCATTTGTTAAAATAAATTGTTTATATATTTTTAAGGACCGTTTATATTACGTGATATCGATATATTATAAAGATTGTCTATAATTAATGATGATAATGATATATAATTATTTTCATGCGAATTGTAATATTTTTGTATATGAAAGATGTATATTATCTGTAATTGTACTTATCTTAAATATGTCGTGTACCTGGTTTTTGTAGAAGTACTGCCGATATTATCATCTAAAATTGCTATTATGACTCTTACTGTCAAGTGGTAAGATTTATAATTGACTACTCGGCCACAGAAGCAATATATTAGGCAATTATTTTCGTAAATCAAATAATTATAATAGATTAACAGTGGCCGGTAAATCGTAGTTGCTGTTCTTTATTAGATTATTAAACTGGTTATTAAACTAAAAAGCTTAACATATGTATTAGGGACATTGAAGCATATTGAAGCTTTGAAATGCATATAAAAAAAGGTAGTTTCGTTATTTTTAGTTAAAACACATATTTCTCTTATGCGTTCTGATTAAATGACAATGCATAAAATTATCAATGATATTATTATCAATATAACATGCCAATGTATAACATTGTACAGTCACACAGACCCTACCACACAACGAGCTAATGAAAATTTAAACGTTTTATTACAATTTGCTAACTCTCTAGAAGGCTTTGTGCAATTAATAATGTACAGCTTGACAACAGAAAATAAAATTAAAACCAGAGACCTAAATTGTATAACTCTTACTTTTCCAAATGAAAATGTAAATGTGACATAACTAATCTCATTCCCAAAAGTTAAACAAGTTGGGTTTTTGGCTTGAGGGCTCCTGAATCGCATTTTAGTAAATCACAAAGTATTATCAATGTTATATTGTCAATTAGCTCCATTCAAATTCCGCAATATCGTGAGTTTTTTTTTGATATTTTTCTGATCGGGCTAAACAATGCATACGTGACGCTGTCACATTATTTAATGTAGTTTGCTAAAATAAAAACAGTTTTTTGACGCAGACCTTAGTCTACAGATATAAGTTATAATGATATTACAACTAGGTAGAATACATATGAAATTGTGCCAAATATTAGTACTTAAGTAGAATTACTGGAGCTTTATTTATGTGGCGTAAGTTGACTATCACATTGTTCACTCTCCGAATGTAGCAGGATTATGGAATATATTGTATTTCCTGAAATAAAGTTTAATGTTTCTAAAAAAGGTCTTTCTTTCTTAATCTTTAGCTGTGCAACGAAATAGTTGGTAATCTTTTATTTTCACACTCGTACTCCGCCGCTGGGTATGGCAACCTCTCTCCTCATCCTGTCTACCCCTTATACCTCAACTATATTATAGCTCAACGGCTGCCCGGGGTGGGGGAGTCCTTTTTTATTACACAAACAAAACATTCGCGCACGCAAGTTCTTTTAATTCATTTAGTCATTTGTACAAACTGATCATTGATCACAGAGACATCATTGAGTATGTACTTTTTCATCGACATGATTACATCGATCTCTTTTTTAAAAAGCTGGTTGAACAAATTTAAATACGTGGGTCATTGGGGCACTGAGGATCTCAAGGACAACATCGACATAGAGAGGGGGCGTTGGCCGCTTGCTGCGATGTAATATGCTGGCCCGAAGGTTTGCACCGTGTACGGATGCAGTAAAGGTCATTCTTTTTAAGATTTACTGCCAATCATTCTATACGTGCAGCCTTTGGACCAACTATACGCAGCGGGCATACAGCGACCTGCGTATCCAATATAACAACGCCTTCGGGATACTGTTGAGACTGTCGTGGAGTTGCAGCGCGTCAAAAATGTTTGCGGAGGCACATACGGACGACTTCTATGTTATTAAAAAATTCAAAAAATTCAAAATTCAATATCGTTTATTCAGTCTAGGCTGTTACAAGCACTTGTGAATGTCGAAAAGCTACGCCATCGGTTCGCAAATCTACGGCGGGAGACCTTGTACTGAGAAGAACCGGCAAGATACTCAGCAAGGGCTGTTTTTTTCTCCCTGTATTATATACAGAGTCGTCAATTTGAAAAATGACTTCAATATGAGATAACTCATGAAGTCACTTTTCATTACAAATGTAAATGACAAAACAATTATGACTATAAAATAAAAAAATATAAAAAACAGATTTAAAAATGAAAAAAGTTTAGGAATGCCGCCTACTGTTTAGGCATAAAAACAAATGTACCATTAAAGTTAAATACAACGATTAATATTATAAGAAAGACGACCGCTTCCATGCTCGTTAGGCTCCGCTCTAGTACCAACAGCCTCATGAGAGTGATTAATGACCGGTGGGACACTCCTCTGCTACGACACTGGGTGGAGCTTCATATCCTGTAATAATATTTTATGTAATTTTCAATTATAGTAAAATATTCATAAGTAAATCAAATGTAACTACCACTATGGAACATAGTTCTTAAATAAATGTTTTGAATTGAATTTAATTGTAAACCTCTATTTACAGACGTTGTTGCCCTTAAGGGGCACACTAACGAACGGATCTCACACCTAGCCTCTCGTAAGTCTCACGGGTGTGAAACAGAGAAGCCGTTAAGCAGTCAGCGTGGCTTACGAACGCTTACGGCATACTATCCGCTAAAAACCCTGCGAATACTGTCAACGCTGTTAAGTGGGCAACCGCGAGATTCCCGTTGAGGGGCTCCCCGCGTCTCCGCACCCAACAACCTCCCGGCCTAGCCGGGGCTCCACAACAGGGATCCTCCGGGGTATTTCGGGTTATTCCGCAGACGTGCACAGGACTGCCGGCGCTGGGAGCTAAGCGCTCCACATGGGGAGCCCTACCTACTTAAAACTTTGGGATACCTTATTGGGAATCAACAACACCATCACCGGAAAATAGTTGGTAACCTGCCAGCCTATCACTGCAATTTCCATTCGCTAATACAAATTGCAGATAGGTATTTTGATTACAATTATATTTAAAATTAGATACAGGTTCTTGATTTAGACCCATTCAGTAATTACCGTTTAATATAATGAGGCACATCTGTATTCCCTCCCCCCCCCCTCGCATTAGCACCGCGATATGATATATAGCGTGTTTTGGCACGCTTAATTGTCAAATTAACTATGGAGTTTGACAGTTAGACGCAATAAAAAACGTGATATATAATGTAAATTGTGATGCTCGTGCTACGGAGACAGGTTTTAAACAAAGGTACTAATTCGTACCAAATTTATTTATCTTCTGGATGGATAAGTTTTATGTACAGAACAGCCGCCGCCCTAATTCAATAATTTAATAATATAATCTACTATATAAAAATAAGTCGGGTTTTCCTTCCTGACGCTATAACTCCAGAACGCACGAACCGATTTCCACGGTTTTGCATTCGTTGGAAAGGTCTCGGGCTCCGTGAGGTTTATAGCAAAGAAAATTCAGGAAAATTTTCAAAAAAAAATCTTCTTTTAATCACCAAACGAAATGTTATATAAAACGAAGCAATCTGATGGCGAAACGGAGTTCGCCTGGTTTGCTAGTATGTTGTAAATAGTAGTCTTAGTTAGTTATAAGTGAAATGTAAAATAGTTATGTTATTTTGTTAATAAACGAGTTGCGCAGAGTCATTTCACAATAGGTACACGATACGTACACATACTCAGTTACACAACGCTGTGCGAGAAAGCATTACAGTCTCCCTCGCACAGCGCTATGATAGGCACACCGCCGCTATAGCATCGCGCGAAGTGCAAACAGAAACAACACTGTGCGAGACGGCATTACAGGCTATCCCTCTCGGATCGTACTACGCCACTTCGCACGAATCCACAACTACCTCCAAGATCTCCGAAAAAAAAACGAGTAAGTTTTTTGTCTCGAGAGACTGCCTGGCGCCATCCCGTGCCAGCGGAGACTGCCGCGCACCCAGCCGCAGGCCTGAGCGCGCCTTTGGGCGCCGCTCGGCCAGGATTGCGCAGGCGTAGCCCCCGTACCCATGCAGCAGCAAACACCAGCAGCGCAGCGCGACTACCCCCCAAGGCGAGTAATTGAAGCCGCGACTGCTTTACCGACACCGTCGGTGAGCTTCGCACAGGCCGCTAAAGTTTTCGCGCCTACCCGCCACGCCGCCGAAAAATCTGCACCCACCGCCGCATCACACACCACTACGCCGCCCGTGCAACTAGCCCCCGGCACAGCTCCCACGGCCCAACGGGTACCTAAATACCCGCCGCTAGTGGTCGAGAATCTGCCGGACTGGTCCACCCACATGAGCCACCTGCGCGACGCCCTTGGCCGCGCACCCACAGTCGTCAGTGTGGTGGGGGGGTCTCGACCGCTCGCGGGGATCGCGAGCGGGAACCCGCTGGTGTCTCGTCCGGTGGGGGCAGGAGCTCCCTAGGGAGCGCCTTGCTGCTGCGTGTTTGGGGGCGGTCGTGTGCCGGCACTATACCGCGCAGGTGTGCGTGGCCCGACTGATCTGCCCGGTCGAACATGTTGTTCGCTAATCTGCTTACAAATGCGTCGATCGTTTCGATTTTGAGATCTTTGTGTAGTGTTGCGTTTCTTACGTACCGTGGCGCATCTATAATGGTGCGTAGTGCGGTGTTTTGTTGGACACTTAGGCGTTTCCTATTGCCCTCCGCGGCCAACGCGTACCATGCTGGGGCCGCGTACGTAAGTAAAGGTCTTATGTACAATTTGTAAATAGTCAGCTTCGTTTTTATTGGGAGATTGCTGCGTAGTATGGGGCGCAATAGCACCCGTGTGGAGTTTGCGCGAGCTACCACCTGTTGTATGTGGGCGCGCATTGTTAATCGGGCGTCAATAGTGATTCCTAGGTATTTAACCGATGTGAGCCATGGAATCGGTGTGCCTAGGAGCTTGAGTGGCGGCGGTTGCTGTAGGTGGCGGCCTATGGTCATTGCTTGAGTTTTGTCAACGTTGATTGCCATCCTCCATTTTGACAGCCATTCGGTAAGCGCATCGAGCGTTGGCTGTAATTTGCTTACTGCGTGCTTTGGGCGGATAGAGGCGGTGTAATATGCAGTGTCGTCTGCATAGAGGGCAAGTTTTGTGTCTCCTATTACGGGTATGTCATCAGTGTAGGCTGCGTATAGCGCCGGTGATAAGCAGCTGCCTTGCAGCACACCGGCGCACACTGGGCGTTCCGAGGATAGTTGGCCTTCTACGGTAACACAAAAGCTTCTATTTCTCAGGAACGTGGCTACGGTTTTAACTAGGCGTATTGGTGTGGCGGACGTCGACAGTTTATAAAGCAGGCCCTCATGCCATACCCTGTCGAACGCCTTCTCCATGTCGAGGAGCACGATGACCGAGTGCTCCTTCTTATTATGGTAAGTCGCTAAATCGTGTAAAACACGAGCCAGCTGCAGCGTCGTAGAGTGTCCCTGCCTGAAACCGAACTGTTCTGTGCGTGGTGTTATAAGCGGGGACAAGTGGCTAAGGATGAGTTTTTCTAACACTTTTGATAGCGTGGGTAGCAGTGTAATCGGTCTGTAACTTCCTGGTATCATTGGGTTTTTTCCTGGTTTGTGCAGCATTATTACCTTGCCGCGCCGCCAGTCGACCGGAAAGTGACAGGTGCGGAGCGCGCCGTTAAAAATGCGGGTGACGGCTGCGATGGTTTTTGGTGGCATGTGACGGAGTGCGGCGTTCGTGATGTTATCCAGGCCCGGGGCTTTCCGCGGTTTACACCTAGAAATCACCCTCCGGACCTGGCCAGGTGAGAACACCACGGGGTCTTCATCAGCAGCGGGATGGTGGGACAGACAACTATTCACGTGCGACACTATGGCCGACACGTGCTCATTGTCTGTCACTGGATTCGGGCAGAACTGTTGAGCCAGGTGTTCAGCGAACAGCTCGGCGCGGTCTATGGCTTGATATTTGGGTGTATTTGTGTGATCTAATAGCGGTCTAACTGCGGTTTTTGTAGTGGTTAGTTGCTTGCAGAGGCGATAAGCAGAGGGCATGTCATCGCCCACTGCAAGCAGGTGGTTGTCCCATGAAGAGGCGGCGTGAGCTTCCATTTCTCTTTTTATTTTTGCCGTGATGCGGTTGAGGTGTGTCTTAGCAGTGGGGCATCGTGTGCATTGCCAAAGACGCCTAAGACGGCGTTTCTCCTCGATTAGGTTCTTCACTCTAGCCGGTATGTCATAATGATCATTTCCTTTGGAGCGAGTGTGGGCGGCTGTTTCAAGCGCCGTTTGTAGTGCTGTGGTCAATTCATTAACGGCTTTATCGAC